TAGGATTAGTGTTTGCTGCTTGGATTAGGATTATCAGTTGCGGTTCGATGTTCAAGTGGTTATCTGTTTTGTTACCTGTACAGGTGTGTGGTTACGGCGAGTGGACTCGTCTTTTTTTCTCCTCCAACAGTTCGGCTGTTTTCTCCATCATCGTCGTCACCGTGTTCTAATCATGCCTGTCTGTCTTTGATTCTGTCGTGGCTGTCTTTGATTGATTCTGTCGTGCCTGTCTTTGATTGATTCTGTCGTGCCTGTCTTTGATTGATTCTGTCGTGGCTGTCTTTGATTGATTCTGTCGTGCCTGTCTTTGATTGATTCTGTCGTGCCTGTCTTTGATTGATTCTGTCGTGCCTGTCTTTGATTGATTCTGTCGTGGCTGTCTTTGATTGATTCTGTCGTGCCTGTCTTTGATTGATTCTGTCGTGCCTGTCTTTGATTGATTCTGTCGTGGCTGTCTTTGATTGATTCTGTCGTGCCTGTCTTTGATTGATTCTGTCGTGCCTGTCTTTGATTGATTCTGTCGTGCCTGTCTTTGATTGATTCGATCGTTGCCCCCACACCTGTGTACCCGCTATGTCATTGACACACCTGGATATTGTAATCTGGTGGCGTCAAGCTTGACTAGACACCGCGTGTTAGAATACACCTTGTTCTACCTGAGACAAGGGGGGGGGGGGGGATTTGACTTTGTTTATATCATGTTCATGAACTCGACGGTCTTGCACTGTAGGCTGCTTGTGACGTTGGACATTGTGAACATGAACTGTCTTCAACATGGCTCATGTGTGTTAGAAATTCTGACCAAGAAAATTATCCGAAACAAAATACTAGTTGCTGTCCTGACTAGATGAAATAAAACAAGTATAAAAACCTTTCTAATAACAAGATCTTAAACGCTGGAAAGAAAAACTGTTTTCTGTAAAAAATAAAAATGTTTGGTCGCTCATGAGATCTCTTACATATCTTAGCGACCAATCTACATTTAAAAGCTTGTTATCACATAGGGTTTTATTTTTTATTTTTTTGTGTCCCCCCCCCCCCACCCCCGCGTTCCCCTTTTAAGTATTTCTTTCGAAATAAAGTTGACACTTCGTATGCTACAACTAAAATTATTTGCGTTCAAACCCGACCAGTAGCTTGTCATCAGTTACTCAGTTATCTGCCCCTAGCTCTGGTCGACGATTGGGCGAGAAATCAGCCAATCAGGACCAAGAATTCACCCACCACGGTCCTCTGATCATGTGATCGCTAGCTCGTAGTTTATCTCCCTTTTATTGTTGAATGTAGTAATCCTCAAATTAAAATCACTCTAATCAGGTTTAAAAAAAAAAAAAAAAAAAGATATTCTAGCATTGTCATCGAAAATGAAGGTATTTGGAAAGTTTGAAAGAAATCGCTGCATTAGAAGTGGGTCAAAATTGAGTTACAAGATTTACCACAAATCCACAAACATGGTGATCTAACTTAGTAAAAGCTTGTAAAAACAATTACATCCGGTTAGATTTTTAAAATCTCTTGGTCGTTTAGGTAAAAATAAAACATGAGATCAGAAAGTTGAAAAGTTGACGTCAGATTGTAAATTGATTTCAAGTCGAGAGTTTAATTAAATCCGCCCCGTGAAGTGCTGAGCTTTAATCACGTGACTTGCTTGGTGCAGGTCGACAGAACACGAGAGATAAGTTTGTTGGTGGAAACTTTCAGTACAACTCTTGGATGGTGTGTTGACAAAGTCAGTTGACTGCTGGACCGTGTGTTGACAAAGTCAGTTGACTGCTGGACAGTGTGTTGACAAAGTCAGAAGACTGACTTTTGTTGCGGTTGATGGTGAGTGGAGCAAATGTGGAGACATGTAGGTACACATTTCTATTCTGTACACGTTTTGTGCAGTTCTACACACCTCGCTATGTTCTAATATCTCCTGATGTACGCACCAAATGTACACATTGATGGTGTACAATTCTCCTGATACTGTAAATATGATGTATTCGTTTGTTTTGAAAGGTTTGTAATGTACACATCTGTTGGTGTACATACACATCTGTTGATGTACACACACACACACAGCTGTTGGTGTACACAGCTGTTGGTGTACACAGCTGTTGGTGTAGCTGTTGGTGTACACAGCTGTTGGTGTACACATCTGTTGGTGTACACAGCTGTTGGTGTACACAGCTGTTGGTGTACACAGCTGTTGGTGTACACAGCTGTTGGTGTACACATCTGTTGGTGTATACATCTGTTGGTGTACACATCTGTTGGTGTAGCTGTTGGTGTACACAGCTGTTGGTGTACACAGCTGTTGGTGTACACAGCTGTTGGTGTACACAGCTGTTGGTGTACACAGCTGTTGGTGTACACAGCTGTTGGTGTAGCTGTTGGTGTACACAGCTGTTGGTGTACACAGCTGTTGGTGTACACATCTGTTGGTGTACACAGCTGTTGGTGTACACAGCTGTTGGTGTACACAGCTGTTGGTGTATACATCTGTTGGTGTATACATCTGTTGGTGTAGCTGTTGGTGTACACAGCTGTTGGTGTACACAGCTGTTGGTGTACACAGCTGTTGGTGTACACAGCTGTTGGTGTACACAGCTGTTGGTGTACACAGCTGTTGGTGTATACATCTGTTGGTGTATACATCTGTTGGTGTAGCTGTTGGTGTACACAGCTGTTGGTGTACACAGCTGTTGGTGTACACAGCTGTTGGTGTACACAGCTGTTGGTGTACACAGCTGTTGGTGTACACAGCTGTTGGTGTACACATCTGTTGGTGTACACAGCTGTTGGTGTACACAGCTGTTGGTGTACACAGCTGTTGGTGTATACATCTGTTGGTGTATACATCTGTTGGTGTAGCTGTTGGTGTACACAGCTGTTGGTGTACACAGCTGTTGGTGTATACATCTGTTGGTGTATACATCTGTTGGTGTAGCTGTTGGTGTACACAGCTGTTGGTGTACACAGCTGTTGGTGTACACAGCTGTTGGTGTACACAGCTGTTGGTGTACACATCTGTTGGTGTACACAGCTGTTGGTGTACACAGCTGTTGGTGTATACATCTGTTGGTGTAGCTGTTGGTGTACACAGCTGTTGGTGTACACAGCTGTTGGTGTACACACACATCTGTTGATGTACACATCTGTTGTACACATCACATTGTGAGTGTCCGATAGCTGTTGAATCTCATCCATCAAACAACATGACAGACAGCCTGCCCCAGCTGGAGGCAGCCAAACAACACTTTTGCTAGTCAGTCAAATTGTCGTTGGTGGTTGTTGTTTGTATTTATTTGTTTCAAGCCTTGTTGAATGTTTGAAGGTTCAATAAATGAGTCAATTGTATATTAGCCAAAGGCTAATGTTATTTAACTGGCAATTAAAGTCTTTTAACCTGATGTATGTAGACCGCAACAGCTCAAACTGTGGCATTGACCTACCACTGTCAGAACGAGGCGATATGGCTCTGTGTGTCAGAACGAGGCGATATGGCTCTGTGTGTCAGAACGAGGCAATATAATCCCGTTGTTTTAAGATCCCCGCATGTAGTGACATTAAAATCAATTTTTAAAAGCCTGTTTATCAGAGCCACCTCTTGTAGCAGTAAACAGGTTCAACAGACAGTGCGATTGGCTGGCTCATCACGTGATCAATACTACACGTGCTAAACTAGCTGTGAATATTTATGCCTGATCTCATCAAGTTAATGGTTGCAGGAAATATTTGAAAGCACGTGGTCTAACGTTCCTCCTTGTTTTGGTTACCTTATGGTAACGCTAATCAAATCAATCGTCGCAACTTTTTCCCTTTAGAGTTGAGCTGCCTCGTCTTTTGTTACCATTAAAATAATCTGTAATCAATGTTAGCACTTGGGCACTTTAGGTCTCAGTGAGAACTAGGGGTGGAGAGGGCGGCCTAAACCAAAGATGTATGTTGGATGTTTGTAGAAAGATGTATCTTGGATGTGTGTACAAAGATGTATCTTGGATGTGTGTACAAAGATGTATGTTGGATGTTTGTAGAAAGATGTATCTTGGATGTGTGTACAAAGATGTATGTTGGATGTTCGTACAAAGATGTATGTTGGATGTGTGTACAAAGATGTATGTTGGATGTTCGTACAAAGATGTATGTTGGATGTTCGTACAAAGATGTATGTTGGATGTTCGTACAAAGATGTATGTTGGATGTGTGTACAAAGATGTATGTTGGATGTGTGTACAAAGATGTATGTTGGATGTGTGTACAAAGATGTATGTTGGATGTGTGTACAAAGATGTATGTTGGATGTGTGTACAAAGATGTATCTTGGATGTGTGTACAAAGATGTATCTTGGATGTATGTACACAGATGTATCTTGTATGTTCGTACAAAGATGTATGTTGGATGTGTGTACAAAGATGTATGTTGGATGTGTGTACAAAGATGTATGTTGGATGTGTGTACAAAGATGTATGTTGGATGTGTGTACAAAGATGTATGTTGGATGTGTGTACAAAGATGTATCTTGGATGTGTGTACAAAGATGTATCTTGGATGTATGTACACAGATGTATCTTGTATGTTCGTACAAAGATGTATGTTGGATGTTTGTACAAAGATGTATAGTGTACGTTATTTCAAATATGTATCTTGTATGTTGTTGTTCATACAAAGATTTATCTTGGATGTTGTTCTTTTCACATAAACCGTCAATGTATTGTTTCACTGGTCACATAAAAGAGTTGTCCATAAAATAGCTTTGGTCAAGAACTAACCCTAACCTAACCATCATATTCCTAACCTTTGGACCGCCGTAGTTTAAAAAATATTTTTAAACGAGTTGTCATAATGTTGCGATATGTTTTTCAACATTTATTGTCGTCTGTTGCTAATCGCATCACGTGTTCTATTTACGTTGGATGGATTGGTTGAAAGACTTGCCATAATTACCATCAGCAGGCGTATCTCGAACCTTCTCAACTAACCGCTGATTTGATTTTCAGATTGGCGTCTTTCTTTTTCTCTGAAACCTGTGCTACGGGCTAGGGTTTGAGAAACAAAAACTGGCTTTACAAATTGACCTGTGTCTATAGTTTATGTGTGTTTGTGGATCTTTGGGCTGAGAACTGAAACAAAACTTTGTGCAAGATGTGCCAGTAAATGTTTGAAGTTTCAGAACGTCTAACACACACACATACACACACACAACCACTCAACTTTGTTGACGCTGTTGAAGACTCCACCGTGTTTGTAATCTCTAAGATGTGAGAAACTGTTTCCTCTCAAATGTGTGAAAACTTGTTCAACCAAACTCCGCCCTCACGATGACAAAACACAACCTCACGTAGTGTGTAGTTGTCGCGTGCTTCCGGTGTTGTTTGCGTGTTGTGGTTGCCATGACAACGATTGACGAATGCCGCAAACAATACGAGGAGCTGCAAGCCTCCACCCCTGTCCCCGTAGAGAGGATCATCAAGGTCAACCCCAGGCTCAAGGTCAGCAAAGAAAAGAGAAAGGTACATGTCGCACGTGTCTGTTGCGGTTGTACAGTTGGTGGGGGGGGGGCAGTGTTTCTTCCAGACTGTTTTCTTGAGGGGGAGGGCACTGTTAAAAGTATGCTTTCTATATAAATTCTATTTCGTTCGGAGGGGGGGCAGTAGACTTTCTTCGGGGCGCCCCGCCCCCCCCTCCGAAGAGATTCCTAGTAGAAAACCAAGATTTCTCACGGCAAACTAAATATGGATGTCTCACCAGCTTACAGTAGTCTGTCTCCAGGCTGTAGATCATCAGTCTGGCACCGCTGTGCTGGTCTCTCCCAGGCTAGGACCAGCTAAAATATTTTTTTTTGTGTCATGACGAGCGAGCAGCTGTCCCCACACGCCCCACCCCACGGGCCCAGACTGAATCTCTTTAAACCCATTTAATAATATATTTTTTTCCAACCTCCACAGACCATCAGCAGAACTGGGAGCCACAAGTCACGTGGCTCTACGGGCGGGGGGTCTAAGAAACAAAGAGAGCAGGGGGATCATGGGGGTCATCCTTCGGACAGCGAGAGTGACCTTGAGGAGAACCGGATTCGGGACAACAAGTCTGACCTTGACATGATTGGCGTGGACATTTCCAACGAAAACGATTGGGACACGGATCTGGAGAACGAAGGTTGGTGTGGTTGAAGGGTTGTCATTCTACCAAGGTTGGAGGGTTGTCATTATACCAAGGTAGGAGGGTTGTCTTTCTACCTAGGTTGTAGTGTCATTCTACCAAGGTAGGAGGGTTGTTATTCTTCCTAGGTTGGAGGGTTGTTGGTCTCGTTCTGGAATTTCTAGGGGGAGAGGGGCACTGGTTAAAGTATATATTTTCTATATGAATTATGTATAGCTTTCTATTCCATCAGATGGGGGAGGGGTGCACATGCTCGGGGGGGGGCAGAGAGATGCCTGCAAGAAACTGGTTACCCATTGATTGGCCCCTGCCCACCTTTTGCCTACCTTTTGCCTAGCGTGTCCAGCCTCTAAACTCCCCCTATGTCTTCATTGACTGAGTGCAGTACATGATAGAACTATCCCATAATTCCTCAGATCCCCAGCCTGTGTATGACCACAGTGGGCGGAGCTTGTACCTTGACGCGTGTAAAAACTTTGGCGTGGTGCCCATCTCCTACTTCCTGCGACACATGAACGACAGCCATCTTTCCATGAAACATCACGGGCTCGCTGGGGAAGGCATGAGACCCATCGCTATTTCGTTAGTGGTAGGTTTTGTTTTTTACTGCTGGTGGTGTTATGGTAGGTTTTGTTTTTTACTGCTGGTAGAGTCATGGTAGGTTTTGTTTTTTACTGCTAGTGTGTCATGGTAGGTTTTGTTTTTTACTGCTGGTGGAGTCATGGTAGGTTTTGTTTTTTTACTGCTGGTAGAGTCATGGTAGGTTTTGTTTTTTTACTGCTGGTAGAGTCATGGTAGGTTTTGTTTTTTACTGCTGGTGGAGCATTGGTGGATTTTTTACTGCTTGTGTTAATTTTGTAACTGCCAACTCATTCCATTAGTCTTCTTTTTTTCGGGGGTTTTTTTTTTAATTTTTTTAAAGCTTTGAGACTTTTGTAAAAGGTCTATTTGGCATTTGTTAAATATTAAAATTACAAGAATTATTTCAATAGCAATATTATTTTTTCGGATGGGATCTTTTTGACGCTATTTTAAAAGGTGTTTGATTGTGAGAAAATGGTGGTGGATGTAGCCACTGGACCCTCCCCTAACTGATGGTTGTCTATGTTAAGTTAGAACAATTTGTGATGCTGTCCATATTTGTAGCCCAATTATTTAGAAATGTTTTGTCTCCTCAGTCAAACGCCACCATCAACACACTGGACCTGACGGACAACTGGCTGGGCTATGACGGGGGGATGGCGGTTTGTGAGATGTTGAAGGAGAATTGTTTCATCACAGACCTGGTAAGTCGGGCTGGTTTCTGGGTATATGGGTTGTCACTGGGATTAATATAAGTTGTCCCTGGGATTAATGTGGGTTGTCCCTGGGATTAATGTGGGTTGTCCCTGGGATTAATATAAGTTGTCCCTGGGATTAATATGGTTGTCCCTGGGATTTATGTGTAAATTCAGCACACAAATAGAGAATGTATTGTTTATATATTGTTGTTAGGATTAATTTAGTATGTGAAGATTTTTTTACCTTGATGAAAAAATTAAATATTTCTTAAATGAGGAAGAAAAAAAATTAAATTTCAAACTATTAATCTGTTATTTAAAGGGAAAATGAAAGCAGTGTGTAAAAAAAAAAATTATTTTCATTCAAATTTTCTGATTGATTCATATTGATGTCCTCAGAATTTGTCTGACAATAATTTAAACAAATGTTCCGAGCACCTATGCCAGATAATCCAAAAGAACGACACTCTCCGTAGGGTAACCCTAACAGGTAGACACACTTGCCAGATTGGCTTGGTTTAAGTTTAATCTGGGTAAAGGCTAACACAAGCTTGTTTTAAGTTTATTCCTATCTGCTAAAGGCTAACACAAGCTTGTTTTAAGTTTATTCCTATCTGCTAAAGGCTAACACAAGCTTGTTTTAAGTTAATTCCTATCTGCTAAAGCCTAAAACAAGCTTGTATCAAATACTGTTTAATGTGCTCACAAGTTTATTCATGTCTGCTGTTCTCCACAGGGAATGGTTTTGATGACACAGCTGCTGTTCATCTGGCTAATCTTATCCTGGTGAGTTTGTACAAAATAAAACAACTTGATTTGCAATAAAAAAAATATAAAATTAGCATTTATTTTTACCTGGTACTTAATGATTGTTTTTGACTTAAGCTGTTTATTTTTTACAAAAGTTTGACACAATGTCCTTAACCTCACAGTACCTGAGTGCTAGCTGTTTGACATAAACTATTTGTATGAACCAATCTCATTTTAAAATACTGTGCTAGTTTGGTTGTCCTCTGACCTCTACCTAAACCTGCCTGTATAAACCTCTTGGTTCCCTCAGACCACGTCCAAGCTAGAATATCTGAATCTAAGTCACAACTGTCTGGGGGAGAAGGCGGGACTGCTCCTGGGGCCGGCTATCTCGGAGAATCTCTGCCTGAAGGAACTGGACCTGTCCTGGAACCATCTGAGAAGGAAAGGTGCCATCTCTGTGGCTGCCGGTGTCAAGGTCAGCTTGTTTTGTTTCAGTTCTTTTCAGTTGGTTACCTTTTTTTTAAATACCTAAAACATCATGAATATTCACATAGATAAAAAACACATTTATCTTTTTACTTTCTCGTATATACGAAGTATAGAGAAAGTCTTGTAATCGTGCAAAAAAAAAAAATCGAGATTTTTGCAAATCTCGACGTTTTGCATCTCACTGATACGGAAAAACATAATTTTGCAATCTTGTCCGTATGTCTGTGTGTCTGTGTGTGTGTGTGTCTGTGTGTGTGTGTGTCCGTGTGTAAACACGATAACTTGAGTACCGTTACAGCTAGGTTGATGAAATTTCATATATAAGTATTTTATCAAAATCGTAGATCCGTATCAACTTTTGAGCGATTTCCGACAACCGGAAGTGGTACTTTTTCTACTTTGAATTTTTCAAAAGCCTATAACTTGAGTACTATTTCAGATAGATAAATTAAATTTCATACGTAAGTAAAAGATCTAATTCTCTACCTTCTGTTAAATTTTGAGTAATTTCCATTGACCGGAAGTAGTAATTTACGCTACTTCCGATTTCTCAAAAAACTAATGTAAATTTTTAAAGTACTAATAATATTGCGCACTATTATGCGCTTTTTTATTCGCGTTCACTTGGTGTGCAATTAATTTGTCTACGAGATTTTATTCTATTTTTAAAACTTTAAGTATTTAAAATGGATTAAAAATCATGTCTAGAAGTCTATAGCCCGAGTTCCCATCCCCTGTTATTTTATATAAGAATATTCGAGAAAGTTTAGGGGAGATCACTCCCGGTTTATTTATACTAAATTTACATGCACAAACATCTAGGTAAATTACTCAACATTTGAAAATTTGTTTCCATTTCTCAAAGTTTGTGTTTCTTTTTTTGTGGCTCACAAATGTGTGATCAACAAAGTTAATTATGGGTAGCCTATGTGTGAAATGTTAATTTAATATGTAATGGGTAGCCTACTAGTACTTGTGAAATTTTATAGTTAATATGTAAATCTAATGGATAGCCAACTTGTGAAATTATAACAACTTTTTATGTGTACTACAGAGCAATGTGTTCATGAAAAAAGTGAACCTCTCCTGGAATGGGTTTGGGTTTGATGCATCCAGTGCCTTGATGGATGCCTTAAAGGCCAACAGTGTTCTTGAGGAGTTGGATTTGACGTAAGGCAATATTTGAATATCAAATTATCATGTATGGAGTTGTTGTTCTAGATTCAACCCTAGCACAGTTTGTTCTTCCAGTACAATACCCAGGCTAACTTAGAGGCCTGCTATATTTTAAAGAATAATCTGTGCTAACAAAATATTTTCCCAGTACAATACCCAGGCTAACTTAGAGGCCTGCTATATTTTAAAGAATAATCTGTGCTAACAAAATATTTTCCCAGTACAATACCCAGGCTAACTTAGAGGCCTGCTATATTTTAAAGAATAATCTGTGCTAACAAAATATTTCCCAGTACAATACCCAGGCTAACTTAGAGGCCTGCTATATTTTAAAGAATAATCTGTGCTAACAAAATATTTTCCCAGTACAATACCCAGGCTAACTTAGAGGCCTGCTATATTTTAAAGAATAATCTGTGCTAACAAAATATTTTCCCAGTACAATACCCAGGCTAACTTAGAGGCCTGCTATATTTTAAAGAATAATCTGTGCTAACAAAATATTTTCCCAGTACAATACCCAGGCTAACTTAGAGGACTACTATATTTTAAAGAATAATCTGTGATAACAATATTTTCCCAGTACAATACTCAGGCTAACTTAGAGGACTACTATATTTTAAAGAATAATCTGTGATAACAATATTTTCCCAGTACAATACTCAGGCTAACTTAGAGGACTACTATATTTTAAAGAATAATCTGTGATAACAATATTTTCCCAGTACAATAACCCAGGCTAACTTAGAAAATAATCTGTGCTAACAAAATATATTTCCAGCAACAATAGAATAGCCACAGAGGGAGCAGTGCTGATTGGCAAGGGCATCACAGTCAATGAGTCTCTGAAAGTGATCAGGGTTTGTTTCACTTCTTATTGACAACTTTTTATGTAGCCCTTTATTATTTGTTAAAATAAAAATCTAAAAAAAATTGTAGAATTTTTTTTATGGCAAGTTTGTTTTTTCAGATTGGTAAAAACCCAATGCAAAGTGCTGGCTGCTGGGCCATAGCTGCAGCCATCTTAAAAAATCCAAACTGTATTTTGGAGGCGGTCGACTTTTCTGTGAGTGAACTTGTTGGAAGAATTTTTTAAAACTTTTGTTTTAGGGAAACTAGAAAATAGTTTTTAATTTATATTGAGTAGGTCTACAATTGTCATCCTTTTAAAGAGATTTTTTTTAACATAATACTATTAAAATAAATATTAAAACAAATATGATTAAATCAATAAAGATTTTAATTAATTAATTGCTCCAACTATAGGACATCACTGTCAACAAAGATTTTGTGACTCTATGGAAACAGGTGGAAGAGAAGTTTCCACAGCTAAAGATGAGTCATGGAGGTGACTAAATAAAAAAAATTATAAATATAATTTACTTTGTTTATTGCTAGCTTGGTAGAATTATATCTTTTTCATACAATTTGTTCTGATTATACTCATTTAGGTACTGAAATGCCTCTCAAACCCAAACAAAGAGTCCACCCACTCATCAAATTAAACGCCTTCATTAACTCCAGAAATATTCGATTGGTTGAATTTTTCAATCAGTTTGATAAAGATGGCACAATGAATGTCAGCAAAGCAGAATTTAGACAAGGATTGGAGGTGAGATCTTGTATTAGTTGTCAGCTTGAAAAACTCCAAGTATAGACTACATTTTCTTTTAGACTTTCAACTGTAACTCATATAAATGTTATAGAATTATGTATACTGTGTGGTGGAGGCAGGAGAAGGCGCCACTGAGGTTTAACCTTGGTGGTAAAATCAAGCTGATAGAGGACTTAGTACATTAGCTGTTTAAACAGGTAAAACAATTTTTGTTGACACAAATGAGATAATTAACGAATCTTTAATTGTATCTCTTTCAGCTGCTCATCAAGGTAAAAAAAAGTCTTTAATTACTCGTTATTTAGCATTTACTTTTCCCAAAATTTAGAAGTTGAAATAAAAAAAAGTTGAAGTAGCCACCAAACTTGTGTCTGACCTTGTCCCCAGCAAACTGGTATTGGCCTGACACCTGATGAGGTGGACATGTTGGTGGCAGAGCTGGACACAGCAGGTACAGGGACCATCAACTACAGGTCAGTTTGCAGCATAGGTCACATACACATTTGTAGGGCATCATAGATCACAAACACATTTGCGTGGCAGCATAGATCACAAACACATTTGTAGGGCATCATAGATCACAAACACATTTGTGTGGCAGCATAGATCACAAACACATTTGTATGGCTTCATAGGGTGAAATCACAAACACATGCAGTCATAGATAATGAAATGGTTTAATGCTTTATACTACACATGCAGTCATAGCTATTGGTTTCTCTCATGTCATGAAATGGTTTAGTGCTGGATACCCAAGTGATCTGATCTCATGATTTTTTCTACCAGTGAACTTGTCCGAGGCCATAAAGACAGTGACAAGACCAAGAGATTCAGTACATACAAAACTCTGAGACCAATGACATCATAAACCAGGAAAAGTTTTTTTTAATGGCGGACCAAAATCATCTGAGATATTATGCCAGTATTTTCTGTCAGTATTTCTAGTACATTAATTCCTGTAATCTATCTATATATATATATAATTCTCTTCTTCGAGCCGTTAGAAAACAAGCTGCAAACGCTCTCCCTACCTCCCCACCCCTACATGGTTTTAGTGAGCTGTGTTCACTCTAAATGTTTACAAGCAGAGCCAACGATTTTAAACGTGGGGGGGGGGGGGGGGGTTATGGTCCTTAACGAGCTACTTAGTGTTTTAAAGAAATATTTTCAGTGTCAGCGTTGGTACTGTCGAATTCACAAATTATGAATTATTGAAAATTAGAAACAACTAAATAGCGGCGTATGTTATGCCGCGGGCCGGCTCGTATATATTAAACAAATTCTTTGTGTTTGAGAAATATGTTCAGCACCCATATTTTTGTAATGTAATTATTGATCAAAAAGTGCCTCCTAATGTAAGAATGTGACATCTATATTTTTAATTGTGCCATGTAGAAGTAATAAAATTTACAGTGCATTGATGGTTTTTCATGATTTTACAATTTGATCACAATCAATCTTACTTTTTCATTTGAGAATGCCAATTTTTTAAATTATGCCTATTCTCGCTCCGAGACTGTCAGTGTGAAAGATTTAGGTTTTAAGACAATATCCTGGTCACAGAGCAGAGGAAAGCCTTGGTCAGGTTTGATGGACAGTTGCTGCATAATGGTGGCAAAAAATAGGAAGAGCATGACGTCAGCCAGCCCCTCCCCTGGACACTGTCGTCTGCCCGCTCCATATGGGATGAAGTGGTCAGGGATCTCTAGGGCTCGGGATTTATTCAGAAACCTGACAGCGATTGGAGAAAATGAGTTTTTTGCAATATTTTATAGGTGAGCATGTATACTTAATATACTATATAAAAAAATTGCCTCATTTGAAATACAGGGGAAGCAACTAGTATAAAATGAGAGCACTCACCTGTGTGGATTGTACTGGTAGGGGTTCTTCCACAGCTTGGCATCGTGGTGAATCTTCCAGACATTAAACAGTAGGATGCTGCCAGTTTGAATTGGGTAGTCTGAAACAAGAAAAATATTTTTAAATATTAAACGAGTCATCCATAAATGACACTATACTTTTGTATTTTTAAAAAGATAGGTTTTGTAAACTAATCAAAAATTTACCAATACTTATTGTTGATCAAGCTTAGTAGTATTTTAAAAAGCATAACAGTTTGTAGATCATTATGGTCTAAACAAAAATTGGTCTTATTGAATGACCTAGAATGCTATTGTAATTGTTAATAATAAAAGCAAGCCCAACTATAACCAAACATACCCTGTAGAGTTGTATCTTTTGTGGCTGAATGGGGAATTAAAAAAGGATGAATGGACGCAAGTCTGAGCGCCTCGTAGATGCAAGCAGTGGTCAGGGGGAGGTAAGGCTGGTCTTCAACTCCGGGCAGCCTGCTGTGGTCAATGACAGAGTCCAGCTCCCTCTGGACCTGCCGCTGGATGTCCGCATGGCTGGCCATGTACCCCAGCAGCCACGTCAGCACCACCGCCGTGTCGTTGTAGCCGAAGTTGAGGGCGTCCAGCAGGAGGTAGTCCAGATCTTCCTTACCCAGCAGCCCCACGTCCTCCCCGTTGTCCACGTACAGCAGCAGGTGGTCGGCCATGTCACGTATGTGGCCGTGGTCATACGTGTCTTTGTGCAGGTTCAGGTACTTGTGGATGATGGACAGCTGGACAGTTGAGCTTTCCTGGGACATGGGTCAACATTTTGGGTCAACATTCTGAGTCAGCATTTTGGGTCAACATTTTAGGTCAACATTTTGGGTCAACATTTTAGGTCAACAATGAGCTAACCTGTTAGACTTGTAAATATGATATCAATTGCAGACAAAATTCCAGGCTAAACATTTCAATCCAATTCTATAAACTAAAGTAGGATCTACATACTATCTAGAGAGTAAGGCGGTTTCCTCTAGCATCATTGTAATAATGGTTTGAGGTAGTTAACTTACACTGTCTATGGGTAATATCAAATATACCCACTACATAGTTAAAAATGGTATGTGTGTATAAATTACCTTAGTTAAAAATGGTATTGTAAAAATATACTTTAGTCTTAGACAAACCTGGATGTAGTTGCCAAAATCATCAGATGAGAAGATCTTGAGTAGCGGACAAAAATCCAGCGGATTAAGTCGGAAAGCTTCTCTCCTGCTGTCCATGAGGGCCAAAGTTTCTCTCATGCGCTGGCACTGTGGGTCCAGCCTCTGGTCAAACACTAGCCTGGGGAGACATGACATCTAGAGACATGACATCTAGAGACATGACATCTAGAGACATGAGATCTACACTAGCCTGGGGAGACATGACATCTAGAGACATGACATCTAGAGACATGACATCTAGAGACATGAGATCTACACTAGCCTGGGGAGACATGAGATCTACACTAGCCTGGGGAGACATGACATCTACACTAGCCTGGGGAGACATGAGATCTACACTAGCCTGGGGAGACATGACATCTACACTAGCCTGGGGAGACATGACATCTACACTAGCCTGGGGAGACATGACATCTACACTAGCCTGGGGAGACATGAGGTCTACACTAGCCTGGGGAGACATGAGATCTACACTAGCATCAGCAGTAGAAAATATTTCTAATACAACAGAAAAACATAATTCTCACTACCATCTAAAATATTCTAAAATTTTCAGGAGATATTTTTACTTTCTCGTATATACGTAGTATAGAGAAAGTATTGTAATCGTGCAAAAAAAAAAAATCGAGATTTTTACAAATCTCGACGTTTTACACCTCACTGATACGGAAAAACATAATTTTGCAATCTTGTCTGTATGTGTGTGTGTGTCTGTGTGTGTCTGTGTCTGTGTGTGTGTCCGTGTGTAAACACGATAACTTGAGTACCGTTACAGCTAGGTTGATGAAATTTCATATATAAGTATTATATCAAAATCGTAGATCCGTATCAACTTTTGAGCGATTTCCGACAACCGGAAGTGGTACTTTTTCTACTTTGAATTTTTCAAAAGCCTATAACTTGAGTACTATTTCAGATAGATAAATTAAATTTCACATGTAAGTAAAAGATCTAATTCTCTACCTTCTGTTAAATTTTGAGTAATTTCCGTTGACCGGAAGTAGTAATTTACGCTACTTCCGATTTCTCAAAAAACTAATGTAAATTTTTAAAGTACTAATAATATTGCGCACTATTACGCACATTTGGTTTGGGTGCTAGCTTGGTGCGCATTTTTTTTTCTACTAGATTTTATTCTATTTTTAAAAGTTTAAGTAAACAAAAATCATGTCTATATTCCGAGTTGACATCCCACGTAGTGTTATATTAGAATATTCGAGAAAGTTTAGGGGAGATTACTCCCGGTTTATTTACTAATGAAGTTTGCAATTCTTGTAACATGCAACTTTCTGAAAGTTGTATACTTAGCTTTTTCTAACGAACCCAAAATTTACTTTAAAAAAGGTATTTGTATTTAAAAATTGTGCAAATATTTTCACCTAGCTTTTTACTTTCTTGTATACAGAGTGTAGAAAAAGTATTGTAATCGTGCAAAAAAAAAAATAGATGATTTTTACAAATCTTGAAGTTTTATACCGCCCTGTGTCAGAAAAACTTAGTTTTGCAATCTTGTATGTGTATGTGTGTCTGTGTACCGATACAGCTAGGTTGATGAAATTTCATACACAAGTATTATATCAAATTTGTAGTTCTGTATCATCTTTTCGCTGATTTCCGATAACCGGAAGAGGAACTTATTCTACTTTCAATTTTTCAAAAGCCTATAATTTGAGCACTGTTTCAAACCGATAAATGAAATTTCACATTTTAAGTAAAAGATCTAATTCTGTCTTCTTTCAAATTTTGAGTAATATCCGTTTACCGGAAGTAGTAATTTATGCTATTTCCAATTTCTCAAAAAACGCATGTGAATTTATAAAGTACTAATAATATTCCACACTATTATACACAGATTTTTTGGAGTTCACTTGGTGCGCAATTCTTTTTTCTATGAGATTCTATTCTATTTTAAAAAGTTTAAGTAATTAAAAATCATGTCTATATCCCAAGTTGCCATACCCTGTAGTGTTATATAAGAATATAATTCGAGAAAGTTTAGGGGAGATCACTCCGGTTTATTTAGAGTGCAATTTTTTTTTGGCTTATTAAAAAATATTTAATAATGCTGTTTATTTCCTCACTAAGATAATTAGTTTAGCTAGTAATAAACTACTCCACCATCTTGGTGGTCCATGGGTGATTGTTAGTCAAGTCCTATCTGGCCCAGTTTTAAAATCTGTTCTATCTCAATACAAGATCCAAGTTCCTCTACTTAAATATGATACAAGATGCAAGTTCAGCCTTAAATTTATAGACAAGATCTAAATTCACCTACCTAAATATGATACACGTTCTGCCTTAAACTTATATATAAGATCTACGTTCCCCTACTTAAGTATGATACAAGATGCAAGTTCTGCCTTAAACTTATATACAAGATCTAAGTTCCCCTACCTAAATATGATATTGAAGCAGGCAGGCTTTAAGATTGCCATGGGATCAAAGGCACATTGACTTTCAACCAGTCTGTTGACTGTGTCAATGATCTCTGAGGAGAGCTTCTCTTCAATGTGCTGCACGTCTGAGCAGTAGGCGTCGACACTGGAGGACAGGAAGTTCCTGCGCACGTGAGTTTTTTCTGAGTTGTCTGCACAGCACACACCTGGTGGGAGTTTACGTTTGCTGTTACTTATACAGTGCTGTCTGCTGTACCAAACAGCCCTTTCTGCTGTACCAAACAGCACTGTCTAGTATACCAAACAGCACTGTTTGCAGTACCAAACAGCTGCTGTCTGCTAATTTTATACATATCCTATATATATCAGGACCTACCTCTTTGTCTGTTTTCCTCCGCATCATACAGGAAATTAAAGTTCTGAAAATCAGGTCGACCTGACAATGAGTCTGACCTATCATGAAGACCTTCCATGAGCCCATCCAAACTGCCAATGACCACGACCTTGTGCTGACCTACAGTCAGCTGATAGATGTCCCCGTACAGCTGGTGGTAGCTGGTCAGTTTTGTGTGGGCGTCCTGGGTCAAGGTTCTCACATGACCAAACAGCGGCCACGACCAGGGACCTGAGGACAGTGGGAATAGGTTTGTAGTTCAGTAAAAACTTGATAGAACTCCTAACATTTGTTGGGGTAGTTATATTCTACACAAGTCTAATACAAAATAGAATTTGACATTTTTATGTTTGAAGCCTAACGCAAAAGAAAAGATATCAGATAGCATATTTAAAGTGTATCAAAATCAATAAACTATCATTACTTAACTTAGTTTAAGTTTAAAGGACTACTGGACTGATTTCAAAATAATTATCACCTTTGAACTCAGTAGTAACAATGCTTTAAAAATGAATGACTCAAATGTTATTATATATAATGGCCAGAAGATTCTTCCATGAATCATGGAGGGTCACAACTTGTTTAAATTGCTACAATACACCAACACACACCAGACAGTTCCCATGATTTCAGTTCTTACAGGTGAGCTCAGGTAGAAAACATTAAGTCTGTGTTCAGTCATCCATATCATTAGCACTCAGCACCCATGCATGGTTCAGTGAGCACAAGTTCAGCCCCAGGACACACCATCACAACACACCATCACAACACACCATCACAACACACCATCACAACACACCATCACAACACACCATCACAACACACCATCACAACACACCATCACAACACACCATCACAACACACCATCACAACACACCATCACAACACACCATCACAACACACCATCACAACACACCATCACAACACACCATCACAACACACCATCACAACACACCATCACAACACACCATCACAACACACCATCACAACACACCATCACAACACACATCACAACACACATCACAACACACCATCACAACACACCATCACAACACACCATCACAACACACCATCACAACACACCATCACAACACACCATCACACCATCACAACACACCATCACACCATCACAACACACATCACAACACACCATCACAACACACCATCACAACACACCATCACAACACACCATCACAACACACCATCACAACACACCATCACACCATCACAACACACCATCACACCATCACAACACACCATCACAACACACCATGTCTGGGTAGACGTGTGTAGCAACAAAACAAACAACACCCACAAAAACACAACCCCAGACACAACAAAAACCTTGACATACCTGGTAAACATTTCTTCTGTTTGTTTGGGTGCCACCTCCATCTGCTGATGGTGAGAGGAATCAGAAACCCTGCCAGTAAGACTAGTAAGGAGATTTGGGGAATCAAAATGGAATCCTCTGTTAAAAAATCTGGCAAAACAGCTGAGAAAAACCAAGGGTTTGCATCCGTGCTTTCTTTTGACATATTCCTAGATCTAGTCTAGTTATAAAAATAGAACTTATTCTTTTGAAATAGACGCAGATCTAGATTAGATTCTTCTATTTTCTAGTAGTTGCTATTACCAACAGCCTACCAAAAAAAAAATAATATACCTACATGCCTACATTGAATTTATAATTTATAGCCTATTTTTAATTAAAATCAGCTTAAGCACTCTAGACTTAATCTAGAATCTAGATCTATTTTTTTCCCAAAGTAAAGTCATCAGTACTGGCTGAGTACTACTACTACACACATTACTACACTCAACTAGCCTACACAACTACACTCTAGTGACTGATGAGTGAAATAATTCCTTATGATAGCAATCACATCCTCAGCATCTGGGGTAGAACCCCCTCTAGAACTGGATCTAAGTATCCTTCACATGAAACATCAAGTTTGTATTAGACCCTCCAACTCTGGGAGACAGTCAAGTTTTTTCTCTGGCAGCAGCCATCTTGGATGTCAATAATTCCACTAGACTTTGTGGTAGCTGCCCATTATTGATTTTTTTCCTACTAGTTTTAGGCAAGAACTAAGGTACACAACCAATCATGCTTTATCATTTGTTTTGTTTTCTGCATTACCTCCCCTGACTCGTGGTTTATCAGATAAATTCAATGTCTGTGAAATAAAATATCCTACAATTTTTGTTCAATTGTTGACATAAATTTTTTCTCACAAAATAAATGAGACTACTTAAGTATATAATAATGCACCACTATTTAATTTACACTACAGAAAAGCAAGGGTCCCTTATAAAATTTTAGATCTGGGATATTTAACATATAATATAGAAACCTGCACTTTTTCAATATAGTTTTTTAAAATTATATATTTTTAAAGAAAATCATTTTATTTTTTATTTTAGTAAATGTATAACAACTTCTTATTAAAACATTTTTTAATTATTTTTTTCAAATATGAATAGAATCACATAGCTAAAATGAATTGCACTAAATGAACATAAAACAATCAGGGTATGTAAATTTTTTATAAATTAATCAAACATCTAATTCAGTCAAATTTTATGTCACATTGCGTTTTCAGGTTTTGATTTACAATACATGCCAAGTTTGAAAGAAAACTGTCACGTAGAAGTAGTCAAAATTTGGCATGCAGGTCGCATCTCATGCTAAGGAAATGTGTCATGAATAAAAAGACAAAAGCAGAAGGGAAATAAAAGCTTGTACAAATGAGATAAACAACTGGGTGGTGAGATAAACAACTGGGTGGTGAGATAAACAACTGGGTGGTGAGATAAACATAAACAACTGGGTGGTGACATAAACAACTGGGTGGTGACATAAACAACTGGGTGGTGAGATAAACAACTGGGTGGTGACATAAGCAACTGGGTGGTGAGATAAACAACTGGGTGGTGAGATAAACAACTGGGTGGTGAGATAAACAACTGGGTGGTGAGGTAAACAACTGGGTGGTGAGGTAAACATAAACAACTGGGTGGTGAGATAAACAACTGGGTGGTGAGATAAACAATTGGGTGGTGAGGTAAACAACTGGGTGGTGAGGTAAACATAAACAACTGGGTGGTGAGGTAAACATAAACAACTGGGTGGTGAGGTAAACATAAACAACTGGGTGGTGAGGTAAACAACTGGGTGGTGAGATAAACAACTGGGTGGTGAGGTAAACATAAACAACTGGGTGGTGAGGTAAACAACTGGGTGGTGAGGTAAACATAAACAACTGGGTGGTGAGATAAACATAAACAACTGGGTGGTGAGATAAACAACTGGGTGGTGAGATAAACATAAACAACTGGGTGGTGAGATAAATAATTTGGTGGTGAGATAAACAACTGGGTGGTGAGATAAACAACTGGGTGATGAGATAAACAATTGGGTGGTGAGATAAAATACTGGGTGGTGAGATAAACATAAACAACTGGGTGGTGAGATAAACAACTGGGCGGTGAGATAAACAATTGGGTGGTGAGATAAACAACTGGGTGGTGAGATAAACAATTGGGTGGTGAGATAAACAACTGGGTGGTGAGATAAACATAAACAACTGGGTGGTGAGATAAACAATTGGGTGGTGAGATAAACAACTGGGTGGTGAGATAAACAATTGGGTGGTGAGATAAACAATTGGGTGGTGAGATAAACAACTGGGTGGTGACATAAACAACTGGGTGGTGAGATAAACAACTGGGTGGTGAGATAAACAATTGGGTGGTGAGATAAACAACTGGGTGGTGAGATAAACAACTGGGTGGTGAAATAAACAACTGGGTGGTGAGATAAACAACTGGGTGGTGAGATAAACAACTGGGTGGTGAGGTAAACATAAACAATTGGGTGGTGAGATAAACAACTGGGTGGTGAGATAAACAACTGGGTGGTGAGGTTACCAATTGGGTGGTGAGATAAACAACTGGGTGGTGAGATAAACAACTGGGTGGTGAGATAAACAATTGGGTGGTGAGGTAAACATAAACAACTGGGTGGTGAGGTAAACATAAAAAACTGGGTGGTGACATAAACAACTGGGTGGTGAGGTAAACATAAACAACTGGGTGGTGAGATAAACATAAACAACTGGGTGGTGAGATAAACAATTGGGTGGTGAGATAAACAACTGGGTGGTGAGATAAACAACTGGGTGGTGAGATAAACAACTGGGTGGTGACATAAACAACTGGGTGGTGACATAAACAACTGGGTGGTGAGATAAACAATTGGGTGGTGAGATAAACAATTGGGTGGTGAGATAAACAACTGGGTGGTGAGGTAAACATAAACAACTGGGTGGTGAGGTAAACAAGCTGGGTGGTGACATAAACAACTGGGTGGTAAAGTAAACAACTGAGTGGTGAGATAAACAAATGGGTGGTGAGGTAAACATAAACAACTGGGTGGTGAGATAAACATAAACAACTGGGTGGTGAGATAAACAATTGGGTGGTGAGATAAACAACTGGGTGGTGAGATAAACAACTGGGTGGTGAGATAAACAACTGGGTGGTGAGGTAAACATAAACAACTGGGTGGTGAGATAAACAATTGGGTGGTGAGATAAACAACTGGGTGGTGAGATAAACAACTGGGTGGTGAGGTAAACAACTGGGTGGTGAGATAAACATAAACAACTGGGTGGTGACATAAACAACTGGGTGGTGACATAAACAACTGGGTGGTGAGGTAAACAACTGGGTGGTGAGGTAAACATAAACAACTGGGTGGTGAGATAAACATAAACAACTGGGTGGTGAGATAAACAACTGGGTGGTGAGATAAACATAAACAACTGGGTGGTGAGATAAATAATTTGGTGGTGAGATAAACAACTGGGTGGTGAGATAAACAACTGGGTGGTGAGATAAACAATTGGGTGGTGAGATAAACAATTGGGTGGTGAGGTAAACAACTGGGTGGTGAGGTAAATAACTGGGTGGTGACATAAACAACTGGGTGGTGAGATAAACAACTGGGTGGTGAGATAAACAATTGGGTGGTGAGATAAACAATTGGGTGGTGAGATAAACAATTGGGTGGTGAGATAAACAATTGGGTGGTGAGATAAACAACTGGGTGGTGAGGTAAACAATTGGGTGGTGAGATAAAGACTGGGTGGTGAGATAAACAGAAACAACACATTTATAAAACAACTTTTATTAGAGCAACTGGGTGGTGAGGTAAACATAAACAACTGGGTGGTGAGGTAAACAACTGGGTGGTGAGGTAAACATAAACAACTGGGTAGTGAGATAAACATAAACAACTGGGTGGTGAGATAAACATAAACAACTGGGTGGTGAGGTAAACATAAACAACTGGGTGGTGAGGTAAACAACTGGGTGGTGAGGTAAACAATTGGGTGGTGAGATAAACAGAAACAACATTGCAACTATTTATAAAACAACTTTTATTAGAGCTTTCTAAATCACATACAATCATCTCAAAAAAGAAATAAAATTGGTGGTCTTTGTAAATAGTTTTCTAAAAAAATAAAACTTAAAACAAAGCTGTTTGAAAAAAACAATTAACCCACTGAACTGGCAGTATTGGAAACATTTTTATCTCCTGAGGGAACAAAGTATATCAGTCTTCTCTCCTGAGGGAACAAAGTATATTAGTCTTCTCTCCTGAGGGAACTAAGTATATCAGTGTTCTCTCCTGAGGGAACAAAGTATATTAGTGTTCTCTCCTGAGGGAACAAAGTATATCAGTCTTCTCTCCTGAGGGAACAAAGTATATTAGTGTTCTCTCCTGAGGGAACAAAGTATATCAGTCTTCTCTCCTGAGTGAACAAAGTATATTAGTGTTCTCTCCTGAGGGAACAAAGTATATTAGTCTTCTCTCCTGAGTGAACAAAGTATATTAGTGTTCTCTCCTGAGGGAACAAAGTATATTAGTGTTCTCTCCTGAGGGAACAAAGTATATCAGTCTTCTCTAATTATTTACATCAATGGTTTTAGTAAGTCTTGTATCATCTGCCAATAAATAGCCTACACAACACTAGCCAACGCTAGCTGCAGCCATACACTATCCAATACGGACAGGTCAGCCATAACACTAGCAAATACTGACAGGACAGCCATAACACTAGCCAATACTGACAGGACAGCTATATAACACTAGCCAACACTAGCTGCAGCCATACAACTCCCCTAAGTTAAAAGACCTGTAACTTGTACCATTGGCCTCTGACAAATTGGCCTCAGACAAATTGGACCACAAAATGTCCCCTGTACATTTAAGTAGAACATCCACTAGAAGCAAATTGCATAGAAAACACAGACTTTAGAACAAAAAAAATTACACTCAAGATATTTGTGAACTTATGACATCAACTAGTTTTACAACAACAAAATATGATTTTAAATATAATTATTTTAATAAACATGGTCCGATTGTTATTTATTTAAAGGACCAAATATCTGAGCAATGCATACAGAGAAATATCAAATTAAATGTGTTCAGTGGGTACTAGATCATCATGACACTAGAATTTTCCATAACATTACAGAATCTGATGCCAGGAACAAATTGAGTCAACATGTGTTGGAATGTAGCAGGTTCACCTGGACAACTTGAACACATGAACACTGACAGATCTAGCACACAAACTTTAACAGTCAACCACCTAAATGCTTTAACAACAGCATCGCTGCTCTTTGTAGATTGGCAGTGTTCTAATGTTGCAGTTACTTATTTTAGTCATGTCATTAAAAGTAGGACATTTGTTTGACTTTAAATGTTTTACAAAACTATTGATTCAGGAGTTGGAAACATTAAAAAATCTAGCCCAGTATATTTTACTGTATAACAAGACAATCAGGGGCTTATAATGAGGTAAATAAAATCAGCAATGTTTATGTAGATTTACAACAGCTGTGTGTTATGATACATGTCAGTCTTAATTACACAGTCAGTCACTGGTCAGTGTGAAATCACTGGTCAGTAGAAAGTCAGTTTGAAGTAACTGGTCAGTTTGAAGTCACTGGTCAGTTTGAAGTCACTGGTCAGTTTGAAGTCACTGGTCAGTAGAATGTCAGTCTGAAGTCACTGGTCAGTTTGAAGTCACTGGTCAGTAGAATGTCAGTTTGAAGTCACTGGTCAGTTTGAAGTCACTGGTCAGTTTGAAGTCACTGGTCAGTAGAATGTCAGTCTGAAGTCACTGGTCAGTTTGAAGACACTGGTCAGTAGAATGTCAGTTTGAAGTCACTGGTCAGTTTGAATTCACTGGTCAGTAGAATGTCAGTTTGAAGTCACTGGTCAGTTTGAATTCACTGGTCAGTAGAATGTCAGTTTGAAGTCACTGGTCAGTAGAATGTCAGTTTGAAGTCACTGGTCAGTTTGAATTCACTGGTCAGTAGAATGTCAGTCTGCAGTCACTGGTCAGTTTGAAGTCACTGGTCAGTTTGAAGTCACTGGTCAGTTTGAAGTCACTGGTCAGTTTGAAGTCACTGGTCAGTTTGAAGTCACTGGTCAGTTTGAAGTCACTGGTCAGTAGAATGTCAGTTTGAAGTCACTGATCAATAGAATGTCAGGTTGAAGTCACGGGTCAGTTTGAAGTCACTGGTCAGTAGAATGTCAGTTTGAAGTCACTGGTCAGTAGAATGTCAGTTTGAAGTCACTGGTCAGTAGAATGTCAGTTTGAAGTCACTGGTCAGTCATACATCATTGACCATTCTTATGTTACATAACAAATGTTGGTCTAAGCTCAAGCCTGGAGCATGACACAATCAATGAATCAAACATTTGTTGATAACAATTCTTAATACAGTTTTATAAAGATAACAATTGGATTCTAAAATATAAAAATGTTAAAATTTGTAAACAACTTGGTATAAAAAGTCCAGGGGCCTTGAAATGTGTGGCCAGCACAAACTGGTGACCCATGACATGGACACTGGTCAGAGGCAGCTCATATAAAGGTTGATTCAATCAAAGTATATACAATGTTGTTACAAATAACTCATACAACAAAACATGCATTTAAAAATCAACATGAGCAACATTATGTTATACAAAGTGTTTGACTTTGGATAGGATTGACATTCTGCAGTAGAGATAAGGTTGACATTCTGCAGTAGAGATAAGGTTGACATTCTGCAGTAGAGATAAGGTCTGCAGTAGAAAATGTTTGACTGTACAGAAACATAGTGGCCTGTGGTTGTGACTACGACCACCTCACGGTGTCTCTGGTGGTGTATTTGTGTCAGATGACGACTTCCTCTTCTGCTCCGGCCCGTCCCCATCTACTGTTGCCTTTCTTTTGGCTAGAGGCTGGAAAACAAACATTGTCTAGTTCCAGCATCCACTGAACAAGTCAAAACTTCTGTTGCTCTAACATTTCAGTGTTACAGCTAGTTGTATGACTTCTCATGATACAAACTTTTAGTAGGGGAACGTTAATGTGAAACTAATTTCAATGAGTTAGTACACTTTAATTTAAAAAGATTCTCAATGGTTTCAAACAGAACAATTTGTACAAGAATTTCTCACCACTTTTGGAGGAACCATTCCATCAGAGTTTGGGTACATCAGGGCGTTTGCTTTAGCCTTCATTTCCTCATCCTGAGAGAACACAAGCAGAGAACATGACATGGTTGACATTACAGCACTAGAACATGACATGGTTGACATTACAGCACTAGAACATGACATGGTTGACATTACAGCACTAGAACATGACATGGTTGACATTACAGCACTAGAACATGACATGGTTGACATTACAGCACTAGAACATGACATGGTACCTTGACATTACAGCACTAGAACATGACATGGTACCTTGACATTACAGCACTAGAACATGACATGGTTGACATTACAGCACTAGAACATGACATGGTTGACATTACAGCACTAGAACATGACATGGTTGACATTACAGCACTAGAACATGACATGGTACCTTGACATTACAGCACTAGAACATGACATGGTACCTTGACATTACAGCACTAGAACATGACATGGTACCTTGACATTACAGCACTAGAACATGACATGGTTGACATTACAGCACTAGAACATGACATGGTTCACATTACAGCACTAGAACATGACATGGTTCACATTACAGCACTAGAACATGACATGGTACCTTGACATTACAGCACTAGAACATGACATGGTACCTTGACATTACAGCACTAGAACATGACATGGTTGACATTACAGCACTAGAACATGACATGGTACCTTGACATTACAGCACTAGAACATGACAAGGTTGACATTACAGCACTAGAACATGACATGGTACCTTGACATTACAGCACTAGAACATGACATGGTACCTTGACATTACAGCACTAGAACATGACATGGTACCTTGACATTACAGCACTAGAACATGACATGGTTGACATTACAGCACTAGAACATGACATGGTTGACATTACAGCACTAGAACATGACATGGTTGACATTACAGCACTAGAACATGACATGGTTGACATTACAGCACTAGAACATGACATGGTTGACATTACAGCACTAGAACATGACATGGTTGACATTACAGCACTAGAACATGACATGGTTGACATTACAGCACTAGAACATGACATGGTTGACATTACAGCACTAGAACATGACATGGTACCTTGACATTACAGCACTAGAACATGACATGGTACCTTGACATTACAGCACTAGAACATGACATGGTACCTTGACATTACAGCACTAGAACATGACATGGTTGACATTACAGCACTAGAACATGACATGGTTGACATTACAGCACTAGAACATGACATGGTACCTTGACATTACAGCACTAGAACATGACATGGTACCTTGACATTACAGCACTAGAACATGACATGGTACCTTGACATTACAGCACTAGAACATGACATGGTTGACATTACAGCACTAGAACATGACATGGTTCACATTACAGCACTAGAACATGACATGGTTCACATTACAGCACTAGAACATGACATGGTACCTTGACATTACAGCACTAGAACATGACATGGTACCTTGACATTACAGCACTAGAACATGACATGGTTGACATTACAGCACTAGAACATGACATGGTACCTTGACATTACAGCACTAGAACATGACAAGGTTGATATTACAGCACTAGAACATGACATGGTACCTTGACATTACAGCACTAGAACATGACATGGTACCTTGACATTACAGCACTAGAACATGACATGGTACCTTGACATTACAGCACTAGAACATGACATGGTTGACATTACAGCACTAGAACATGACATGGTACCTTGACATTACAGCACTAGAACATGACATGGTTGACATTACAGCACTAGAACATGACATGGTACCTTGACATTACAGCACTAGAACATGACATGGTACCTTGACATTACAGCACTAGAACATGACATGGTACCTTGACATTACAGCACTAGAACATGACATGGTTGACATTACAGCACTAGAACATGACATGGTACCTTGACATTACAGCACTAGAACATGACATGGTACCTTGACATTACAGCACTAGAACATGACATGGTACCTTGACATTACAGCACTAGAACATGACAAGGTTGACATTACAGCACTAGAACATGACAAGGTTGACATTACAGCACTAGAACATGACATGGTTGACATTACAGCACTAGAACATGACATGGTACCTTGACATTACAGCACTAGAACATGACATGGTACCTTGACATTACAGCACTAGAACATGACATGGTTGACATTACAGCACTAGAACATGACATGGTACCTTGACATTACAGCACCAGAACATGACATGGTACCTTGACATTACAGCACTAGAACATGACAAGGTTGACATTACAGCACTAGAACATGACATGGTACCTTGACATTACAGCACTAGAACATGACATGGTACCTTGACATTACAGCACTAGAACATGACATGGTTGACATTACAGCACTAGAACATGACATGGTACCTTGACATTACAGCACTAGAACATGACATGGTACCTTGACATTACAGCACTAGAACATGACATGGTTGACATTACAGCACTAGAACATGACATGGTTGACATTACAGCACTAGAACATGACATGGTTGACATTACAGCACCAGAACATGACAAGGTTGACATTACAGCACTAGAACATGACATGGTACCTTGACATTACAGCACCAGAACATGACATGGTACCTTGACATTACAGCACTAGAACATGACAAGGTTGACATTACAGCACTAGAACATGACATGGTACCTTGACATTACAGCACTAGAACATGGCATGGTACCTTGACATTACAGCACTAGAACATGACATGGTACCTTGACATTACAGCACTAGAACATGACATGGTTGACATTACAGCACTAGAACATGACATGGTTGACATTACAGCACTAGAACATGACATGGTTGACATTACAGCACTAGAACATGACATGGTACCTTGACATTACAGCACTAGAACATGACATGGTACCTTGACATTACAGCACTAGAACATGACATGGTTGACATTACAGCACTAGAACATGACATGGTTGACATTACAGCACTAGAACATGACATGGTACCTTGACATTACAGCACTAGAACATGACATGGTACCTTGACATTACAGCACTAGAACATGACATGGTTGACATTACAGCACTAGAACATGACATGGTTGACATTACAGCACTAGAACATGACATGGTTGACATTACAGCACTAGAACATGACATGGTTGACATTACAGCACTAGAACATGACATGGTACCTTGACATTACAGCACTAGAACATGACATGGTTGACATTACAGCACTAGAACATGACATGGTTGACATTACAGCACTAGAACATGACATGGTACCTTGACATTACAGCACTAGAACATGACATGGTACCTTGACATTACAGCACTAGAACATGACATGGTTGACATTACAGCACTAGAACATGACATGGTTGACATTACAGCACTAGAACATGACATGGTACCTTGACATTACAGCACTAGAACATGACATGGTACCTTGACATTACAGCACTAGAACATGACATGGTTGACATTACAGCACTAGAACATGACATGGTTGACATTACAGAACTAGAACATGACATGGTTGACATTACAGCACTAGAACATGACATGGTTGACATTACAGCACTAGAACATGACATGGTACCTTGACATTACAGCACTAGAACATGACATGGTTGACATTACAGCACTAGAACATGACATGGTTGACATTACAGCACTAGAACATGACATGGTACCTTGACATTACAGCACTAGAACATGACATGGTACCTTGACATTACAGCACTAGAACATGACATGGTACCTTGACATTACAGCACTAGAACATGACATGGTACCTTGACATTACAGCACTAGAACATGACATGGTACCTTGACATTACAGCACTAGAACATGACATGGTACCTTGACATTACAGCACTAGAACATGACATGGTTGACATTACAGCACTAGAACATGACATGGTTGACATTACAGCACTAGAACATGACATGGTTGACATTACAGCACTAGAACATGACATGGTTGACATTACAGCACTAGAACATGACATGGTACCTTGACATTACAGCACTAGAACATGACATGGTTGACATTACAGCACTAGAACATGACATGGTTGACATTACAGCACTAGAACATGACATGGTACCTTGACATTACAGCACTAGAACATGACATGGTACCTTGACATTACAGCACTAGAACATGACATGGTACCTTGACATTACAGCACTAGAACATGACATGGTTGACATTACAGCACTAGAACATGACATGGTACCTTGACATTACAGCACTAGAACATGACATGGTACCTTGACATTACAGCACTAGAACATGACATGGTACCTTGACATTACAGCACTAGAACATGACATCAACAGAGAACAGAAATCCTCACCTTTAACCAGGGATGGTTGAGGACATCAGCAAAAGTTAATCTTTTCTTGGGGTCAACGACCATCATTTTTTTCATGAGATCAATGGCTGAAAGTATACATTTCATTTTGAATGAGATCAATGGCTGAAAGTATACATTTCATTTTGAATGAGATCAATGGCTGAAAGTATACATTTCATTTAGAATGAGATCAATGGCTGAAACTGAAAGTATACATTTCATTTTGAATGAGATCAATGGCTGAAACTGAAAGTATACATTTCATTTTGAATGAGATCAATGGCTGAAAGTATACATTTCATTTTAATGAGATCAATGGCTGAAAGTATACATTTCATTTTTAATGAGATCAATGGCTGAAAGTATACATTTCATTTTTCATGAGATCAATGGCTGAAAGTATACATTTCATTTTGAATGAGATCAATGGCTGAAAGTATACATTTCATTTTGATGAGATCAATGGCTGAAAGTATACATTTCATTTTGAATCAGATCAATGGCTGAAAGTATACATTTCATTTTGAATGAGATCAATGGCTGAAAGTATACATTTCATTTTAATGAGATCAATGGCTGAAAGTATACATTTCATTTTTAATGAGATCAATGGCTGAAAGTATACATTTCATTTTGAATGAGATCAATGGCTGAAAGTATACATTTCATTTTTCATGAGATCAATGGCTGAAAGTATACATTTCATTTTGAATGAGATCAATGGCTGAAAGTATACATTTCATTTTGAATGAGATCAATGGCTGAAAGTATACATTTCATTTTGAATGAGATCAATGGCTGAAAGTATAAATTTCATTTTGAATGAGATCAATGGCTGAAAGTATACATTTCATTTTGAATGAGATCAATGGCTGAAAGTATACATTTCATTTTGATGAGATCAATGGCTGAAAGTATACATTTCATTTTGAATGAGATCAATGGCTGAAAGTATACATTTCATTTTGAATGAGATCAATGGCTGAAAGTATACATTTCATTTTGAATGAGATCAATGGCTGAAAGTATAAATTTCATTTTGAATCAGATCAATGGCTGAAAGTATACATTTCATTTTGAATGAGATCAATGGCTGAAAGTATACATTTCATTTTGAATGAGATCAATGGCTGAAAGTATACATTTCATTTTAATTAGATCATTGGCTGAAAGTATACATTTCATTTTGAATGAGATCAATGGCTGAAAGTATACATTTCATTTTGAATGAGATCAATGGCTGAAAGTATACATTTCATTTTAATTAGATCATTGGCTGAAAGAATACATTTCATTTAAAGTCAAGCAAAAATATTTTCAGCAATCAACCTAGATGCTGTAAACAAACATTTTATACAAAACAGGTTAGTTGATGTGCCTTATGTTCTTTAGACAAACAGAATTTGTTTAATAACTTCAACAAACTAAGAAAATGAAAAAAGAAATATTTGAATCCCCCATCAAAAAAAAAATGGACCAACCAGTTTCTGACACACCCTTCCAGTACTGCGTCTAAAAAAAAAATTGACCAACCAGATCCTGACACACCCTTCCAGTACTGCGTCTAAAAAAAAATGAACCAACCAGTTTCTGACACACCCTTCCAGTACTGCGGAGGAAATGTGTAGTGACCTCCCATAATCTGTTTAGGTAAGTCCATGTCCTGACGCTCGTCAGAGAAGGGAGGGTACCCAGACAGCCTGGTACAATCATATGTTAAACAAATCAAAAAATGTGACGCAAATTTCACATCAATTTCCTAGCATGCCTTTTTTAACACATAATACATATGATAATGGTTTTCAAATTAAAATGTATTTTAAGTTAGATGTTACAGTAAAAATACATTTTTTAAAAGTTGTCAGATGTTTAATGCATCAAATAAAGCTTTGTGCCAGTGTGTGATTATAAACAAAACAACAACGTACATGATGAACAAGATGACCCCCAGACTCCAGCAGTCTATGGCTTTGGTGTAGGCTCCATTGCCTGCGGTCAGCAGAATTTCTGGCGCAAGGTATGTGGGGGTGCCACAGAATGTTTTCATCATTGACCCAGCGTCCACAAACTTGGACAAACCAAAGTCTGTCACCTACAGAGAGTCAAGTTGAATAAAAAATCTGTCTCCTACAGAGAATCAAGTGTTGAATAAAAAGTCTGTCTCCTACAGAGAGTCAAGTTGAATAAAAAATCTGTCTCCTACAGAGAATCAAGTGTTGAATAAAAAGTCTGTCACCTACAGAGAGTCAAGTTGAATAAAAAATCTGTCTCCTACAGAGAGTCAAGTGTTGAATAAAAAGTCTGTCTCCTACAGAGAGTCAAGTGTTGAATAAAAAGTCTGTTACCTACAGAGGGTCAAGTGTTGTAATAAAAAGTCTGTCTCCTACAGAGAGTCAAGTGTTGAATAAAAAGTCTGTTACCTACAGAGGGTCAAGTGTTGAATAAAAAGTCTGTTACCTACAGAGAGTCAAGTGTTGAATAAAAAGTCTGTCACCTACAGAGAGTCAAGTGTTGAATAAAAAGTCTGTCACCTACAGAGAGTCAAGTGTTGAATAAAAGACTCACAGTCCATTTTGTCAAGTAAAACTGAAATGATAAGTGTAGATACAAATCAAAATTTTACCTTAATCAATGTCTCCAGATCATCTGATGCAAGGAGAATATTTTCTGGCTTTGTTCAGAGAAAAATGTGTAGGATATTACAAGTATACATACAATTATAACATGTTTGGTTGGAAAAGTAATTCAAAAATTTAAGGAAACATTTTTTTTTTGTGTTACACTAATTATATTAGAAGTGATTAGATTTTTTAAATGTCTGTCAATGGTTTCATTGTGGTAGGAATTACATTTCTCATGTTTATTTATCTCACATCACCTTACATTTGTTAATGTTAGAAATATCTACCTTAATGTGTCATTATTTATTTATCTCCCATCACCTTACACTTGTTTATGTTAGAAAAATCTACCTTAATGTGTCATTATTTATTTATCTCCCATCACCTTACATTTGTTTATGTTAGAAATATCTACCTTAATGTGTCATTATTTATTTATCTCCCATCACCTTACATTTGTTAATGTTAGAAATATCTACCTTAATGTGTCATTATTTATTTATCTCCCATCACCTTACATTTGTTAATGTTAGAAATATCTACCTTAATGTGTCATTATTTATCTCCCATCACCTTACATTTGTTAATGTTAGAAATATCTACCTTAATGTGTCATTATTTATTTATCTCCCATCACCTTACATTTGTTAATGTTAGAAATATCTACCTTAATGTGTCATTATTTATTTATCTTACATCACCTTACATTTGTTTATGTTAGAAATATCTACCTTAATGTGTCATTATTTATTTATCTCCCAACACCTTACATTTGTTAATGTTCTCCCATCACCTTACATTTGTTAATGTTCTCCCATCACCTTACATTTGTTAATGTTCTCCCATCACCTTACATTTGTTAATGTTAGAAAAATCTACCTTAATGTGTCATTATTTATCTCACATCACCTTACATTTGTTAATGTTAGAAATATCTACCTTAATGTGTCATTATTTATTTATCTCCCATCACCTTACATTTGTTAATGTTAGAAATATCTACCTTAATGTGTCATTATTTATTTATCTCCCATCACCTTACATTTGTTAATGTTAGAAATATCTACCTTAATGTGTCATTATTTATTTATCTAACATCACCTTACATTTGTTTATGTTAGAAATATCTACCTTAATGTGTCATTATTTATTTATCTCACATCACCTTACATTTGTTTATGTTAGAAAAATCTACCTTAATGTGTCATTATTTATTTATTTTACATCACCTTACATTTGTTAATGTTAGAAATATCTACCTTAATGTGTCATTTATTTATCTCCCATCACCTTACATTTGTTAATGTTAGAAAAATCTACCTTAATGTGTCATTATTTATTTATCTTACATCACCTTACATTTGTTTATGTTAGAAATATCTACCTTAATGTGTCATTATTTATTTATCTCCCATCACCTTACATTTGTTAATGTTCTCCCATCACCTTACATTTGTTAATGTTCTCCCATCACCTTACATTTGTTAATGTTCTCCCATCACCTTACATTTGTTAATGTTAGAAAAATCTACCTTAATGTGTCATTATTTATTTATCTCACATCACCTTACATTTGTTAATGTTAGAAATATCTACCTTAATGTGTCATTATTTATTTATCTCCCATCACCTTACATTTGTTAATGTTAGAAATATCTACCTTAATGTGTCATTATTTATTTATCTCACATCACCTTACATTTGTTAATGTTAGAAATATCTACCTTAATGTGTCATTATTTATTTATCTCACATCACCTTACATTTGTTAATGTTAGAAATATCTACCTTAATGTGTCATTATTTATTTATCTCCCATCACCTTACATTTGTTAATGTTAGAAATATCTACCTTAATGTGTCATTATTTATTTATCTCCCATCACCTTACACTTGTTTATGTTAGAAAAATCTACCTTAATGTGTCATTATTTATTTATCTCCCATCACCTTACATTTGTTTATGTTAGAAATATCTACCTTAATGTGTCATTATTTATTTATCTCCCATCATCTTACATTTGTTAATGTTAGAAATATCTACCTTAATGTGTCATTATTTATTTATCTCCCATCACCTTACATTTGTTAATGTTAGAAATATCTACCTTAATGTGTCATTATTTATCTCCCATCACCTTACATTTGTTAATGTTAGAAATATCTACCTTAATGTGTCATTATTTATCTCACATCACCTTACATTTGTTTATGTTAGAAAAATCTACCTTAATGTGTCATTATTTATTTATCTCCCATCACCTTACATTTGTTAATGTTAGAAATATCTACCTTAATGTGTCATTATTTATTTATCTCCCATCACCTTACATTTGTTAATGTTAGAAATATCTACCTTAATGTGTCATTATTTATTTATCTAACATCACCTTACATTTGTTTATGTTAGAAATATCTACCTTAATGTGTCATTATTTATTTATCTCACATCACCTTACATTTGTTTATGTTAGAAAAATCTACCTTAATGTGTCATTATTTATTTATTTTACATCACCTTACATTTGTTAATGTTAGAAATATCTACCTTAATGTGTCATTATTTATTTATCTCCCATCACCTTACATTTGTTAATGTTAGAAATATCTACCTTAATGTGTCATTATTTATTTATCTCCCATCACCTTACATTTGTTAATGTTAGAAATATCTACCTTAATGTGTCATTATTTATTTATCTCACATCACCTTACATTTGTTAATGTTAGAAATATCTACCTTAATGTGTCATTATTTATTTATCTTACATCACCTTACATTTGTTTATGTTAGAAATATCTACCTTAATGTGTCATTATTTATTTATCTCCCATCACCTTACATTTGTTAATGTTCTCCCATCACCTTACATTTGTTAATGTTCTCCCATCACCTTACATTTGTTAATGTTCTCCCATCACCTTACATTTGTTAATGTTCTCCCATCACCTTACATTTGTTAATGTTAGAAAAATCTACCTTAATGTGTCATTATTTATTTATCTCACATCACCTTACATTTGTTAATGTTAGAAATATCTACCTTAATGTGTCATTATTTATTTATCTCCCATCACCTTACATTTGTTAATGTTAGAAATATCTACCTTAATGTGTCATTATTTATTTATCTCACATCACCTTACATTTGTTAATGTTAGAAATATCTACCTTAATGTGTCATTATTTATTTATCTCACATCACCTTACATTTGTTAATGTTAGAAATATCTACCTTAATGTGTCATTATTTATTTATCTCCCATCACCTTACATTTGTTAATGTTAGAAATATCTACCTTAATGTGTCATTATTTATTTATCTCCCATCACCTTACATTTGTTAATGTTAGAAATATCTACCTTAATGTGTCATTATTTATTTATCTCCCATCACCTTACATTTGTTAATGTTAGAAATATCTACCTTAATGTGTCATTATTTATTTATCTCACATCACCTTACATTTGTTAATGTTAGAAATATCTACCTTAATGTGTCATTATTTATTTATCTCACATCACCTTACATTTGTTAATGTTAGAAATATCTACCTTAATGTGTCATTATTTAATTATCTCACATCACCTTACATTTGTTAATGTTAGAAATATCTACCTTAATGTGTCATTATTTAATTATCTCACATCACCTTACATTTGTTTATGTTAGAAAAATCTACCTTAATGTGTCATTATTTATCTCCCATCACCTTACATTTGTTAATGTTAGAAATATCTACCTTAATGTGTCATTATTTATTTATCTCCCATCACCTTACATTTGTTAATGTTAGAAGTATCTACCTTAATGTGTCATTATTTATTTATCTCACATCACCTTACATTTGTTAATGTTAGAAATATCTACCTTAATGTGTCATTATTTATTTATCTCACATCACCTTACATTTGTTAATGTTAGAAATATCTACCTTAATGTGTCATTATTTATTTATCTCACATCACCTTACATTTGTTTATGTTAGAAAAATCTACCTTAATGTGTCATTATTTATTTATTTTACATCACCTTACATTTGTTAATGTTAGAAATATCTACCTTAATGTTTCATTATTTATTTATCTCCCATCACCTTACATTTGTTAATGTTAGAAAAATCTACCTTAATGTGTCATTATTTATTTATCTTACATCACCTTACATTTGTTTATGTTAGAAATATCTACCTTAATGTGTCATTATTTATTTATCTCCCATCACCTTACATTTGTTAATGTTCTCCCATCACCTTACATTTGTTAATGTTCTCCCATCACCTTACATTTGTTAATGTTCTCCCATCACCTTACATTTGTTAATGTTCTCCCATCACCTTACATTTGTTAATGTTAGAAAAATCTACCTTAATGTGTCATTATTTATTTATCTCACATCACCTTACATTTGTTAATGTTAGAAATATCTACCTTAATGTGTCATTATTTATTTATCTCCCATCACCTTACATTTGTTAATGTTAGAAATATCTACCTTAATGTGTCATTATTTATTTATCTCACATCACCTTACATTTGTTAATGTTAGAAATATCTACCTTAATGTGTCATTATTTATTTATCTCACATCACCTTACATTTGTTAATGTTAGAAATATCTACCTTAATGTGTCATTATTTATTTATCTCCCATCACCTTACATTTGTTAATGTTAGAAATATCTACCTTAATGTGTCATTATTTATTTATCTCACATCACCTTACATTTGTTAATGTTAGAAATATCTACCTTAATGTCTCATTATTTATTTATCTCCCATCACCTTACATTTGTTAATGTTAGAAATATCTACCTTAATGTGTCATTATTTATTTATCTTACATCACCTTACATTTGTTAATGTTAGAAATATCTACCTTAATGTGTCATTATTTAATTATCTCACATCACCTTACATTTGTTAATGTTAGAAATATCTACCTTAATGTGTCATTATTTAATTATCTCACATCACCTTACATTTGTTTATGTTAGAAAAATCTACCTTAATGTGTCATTATTTATCTCACATCACCTTACATTTGTTAATGTTAGAAATATCTACCTTAATGTGTCATTATTTATTTATCTCCCATCACCTTACATTTGTTAATGTTAGAAATATCTACCTTAATGTGTCATTATTTATTTATCTCACATCACCTTACATTTGTTAATGTTAGAAATATCTACCTTAATGTGTCATTATTTATTTATCTCACATCACCTTACATTTGTTAATGTTAGAAATATCTACCTTAATGTGTCATTATTTAATTATCTCACATCACCTTACATTTGTTAATGTTAGAAATATCTACCTTAATGTGTCATTATTTAATTATCTCACATCACCTTACATTTGTTTATGTTAGAAAAATCTACCTTAATGTGTCATTATTTATCTCCCATCACCTTACATTTGTTAATGTTAGAAATATCTACCTTAATGTGTCATTATTTAATTATCTCACATCACCTTACATTTGTTAATGTTAGAAATATCTACCTTAATGTGTCATTATTTAATTATCTCCCATCACCTTACATTTGTTAATGTTCTCCCATCACCTTACATTTGTTAATGTTCTCCCATCACCTTACATTTGTTAATGTTCTCCCATCACCTTACATTTGTTAATGTTCTCCCATCACCTTACATTTGTTTATGTTAGAAAAATCTACCTTAATGTGTCATTATTTATTTATCTAACAACACCTTACATTTGTTAATGTTAGAAATATCTACCTTAATGTGTCATTATTTATTTATCTTACATCACCTTACATTTGTTTATGTTAGAAATATCTACCTTAATGTGTCATTATTTATTTATCTCACATCACCTTACATTTGTTTATGTTAGAAAAATCTACCTTAATGTGTCATTATTTATCTCACATCACCTTACATTTGTTTATGTTAGAAATATCTACCTTAATGTGTCATTATTTATTTATCTCACATCACCTTACATTTGTTTATGTTAGAAATATCTACCTTAATGTGTCATTATTTATCTCACATCACCTTACATTTGTTAATGTTAGAAATATCTACCTTAATGTGTCATTATTTAATTATCTCACATCACCTTACATTTGTTTATGTTAGAAAAATCTACCTTAATGTGTCATTATTTATTTATCTCACATCACCTTATATTTGTTTATGTTAGAAAAATCTACCTTAATGTGTCATTATTTATTTATCTCACATCACCTTACATTTGTTAATGTTAGAAAAATCTACCTTAATGTGTCATTATTTATTTATCTAACATCACCTTACATTTGTTAATGTTAGAAATATCTACCTTAATGTGTCATTATTTATTTATCTAACATCACCTTACATTTGTTTATGTTAGAAAAATCTACCTTAAGATCTCTGTGTGTGATGCCCTTATCATGAAGATACTGGGGAATATTTGGTTATAAGCCATTACAATGTTATAAGGAATTTCTACAAGAAATAATGACAAGATACTGGGGAATATTTGGTTATAAGCCATTACAATGTTATAAGGAATTTCTACAAGAAATAATGACAAGATACTGGGGAATATTTGGTTATAAGCCATTACAATGTTATAAGGAATTTCTACAAGAAATAATGACAAGATACTGGGGAATATTTGGTTATAAGCCATTACAATGTTATAAGGAATTTCTACAAGAAATAATGACAAGATACTGGGGAATATTTGGTTATAAGCCATTACAATGTTATAAGGAATTTCTACAAGAAATAATGACAAGATACTGGGGAATATTTGGTTATAAGCCATTACAATGTTATAAGGAATTTCTACAAGAAATAATGACAATATACTGGGGAATATTTGGTTATAAGCCATTACAATGTTATAAGGAATTTCTACAAGAAATAATGACAAGATACTGGGGAATATTTGGTTATAAGCCATTACAATGTTATAAGGAATTTCTACAAGAAATAATGACAAGATACTGGGGAATATTTGGTTATAAGCCATTACAATGTTATAAGGAATTTCTACAAGAAATAATGACAAGATACTGGGGAATATTTGGTTATAAGCCATTACAATGTTATAAGGAATTTCTACAAGAAATAATGACAAGATACTGGGGAATATTTGGTTTTAAGCCATTACAATGTTATAAGGAATTTCTACAAGAAATAATGACAAGATACTGGAGAATATTTGGTTATAAGCCATTACAATGTTATAAGGAATTTCTACAAGAAATAATGACAAGATACTGGGGAATATTTGGTTATAAGCCATTACAATGTTATAAGGAATTTCTACAAGAAATAATGACAAGATACTGGGGAATATTTGGTTATAAGCCATTACAATGTTATAAGGAATTTCTACAAGAAATAATGACAAGATACTGGGGAATATTTGGTTATAAACCATTACAATGTTATGAATCATGACAATCTACTGAGCAATATTTGGTATTAACCATTAACTTAAGGAATTTCTACAAGAAATAATGACAAGATACTGGGGAATATTTGGTATCAACAATTAACTTAGGAATTTCTAGCCAACAACAAGAAAAATGACAAGATACTGAAAATACCAAAAACATTGTTAGCTAGCCTAGAGGTAAAATATATTACAGATTGTAATTAAAACAGATGTTGGTGACAAAATAAAACCTAATTTTAATTTATTTAAATCTTTCAGTTAAAAGAGTAACATTGTGGTTAAAGAAAGAATCATAAAATCTAGTGACTATTTCAAAAGATAAATTTAGCAAAGCTATCAATTTATTAAGAAACTGTCAGTGAGGAAAGTCTAACCAGCTGTTTTACTTTACCTTGACTGCTGTGGCCATCTGGTAAAACAAAAGTTTGGCCGTCTGCTCGTCGTACTTGTCTATAGACACCACCTTGTCAAACAGCTCGCCTCCCTCCACCCTGCACACACAGACAAACAAATACACGTTTATTTATGTACTTTGGTTTCTCTAGGTCATCATTTAAAGAAAAGACAGCTATAAAACTGGTGATTAAAACATTCAACTCACAGCTCTAAGATAATGTACAGCATATCTGGTGTGTCTATAACATCCTCTATTCCAATGATACACGGCTAAAATAAAAAGTTTTCAAAAAATTTTGATTTGACAGTTTTTCAGTTTTATTTTTACATTTTAGTTTTACACATTCTGAGCAAGAAACTATTTATTTGCTATTCAATGAGTACGTAATGCTAAGTTTTTAAACTTTTCAAGACCTACTAAAAAATGGAACAGTGTCGTGACTGATTGATTTTAAAACTTACATGTTTCAGAGATTTTAAAATTTTCACCTCACCCATAACTTGAGCAGCTAAATTCTGGGGGGAAAAGTTTGGTTTTAGTTAGGATTAATTAGTTTTGACATCAACTCTCAGCTAAAACTACACTATCAATAGCATAAATCTTTTCCAATACATTAGTCCAACACACATTCATGCTTACATCCAGTAGTCAGACATACAACACACATTCAAGCTTACATCAGCAGTCAGACATACAACACACATTCATGCTTCCATCCAGTAGTCAGACATACAACACCCATTCATGCTTACATCCAGTAGTCAGACATACAACACACATTCCTGCTTACATCCAGTAGTCAGACATACAACAGTGATGGTCTTACAACTTGAGATTTGCCACCCATTGAGAACTTCTTCTTGGATATAATCTTGCAGGCCAACTTCTCACAGGAACCTTTGACAAATGCCAGCCTGACTTCTCCACAAGCTCCCCTGTAGACAAAACAATTGGCTTTTCTATTCAATCATTTCCCTATCAGTTATTTTGTAGAGTTGTCTCCCCTTTCAGTAATGTGGTCCAGAAAGGACTTATACAGCTCTGTATACTAGGCTGTTACTAGTATAATGTTATCACCAACTAATGCCAGGTACCAATAGGAGCTGGGGGGTTTTAAGGGTCTCCCTAAAAAAAAGTCATAATCCAGTCAACCATAAAGTCATTCCCACCCCCACTCCAAACCCCTCATAACTAAAGGGGAATCAGGTAAAATTAAATATATTATTTTTAAAAATAAATCTGCTTTAGACATTTTTCAAGATCTGACAATGATGTTACTAACATCAGCAGGTCAGAAATAAAAGTGACAATGATGTTACTAACATCAGCAGATCAGAAATAAAACTGACAATGATGTTACTAACATCAGCAGGTCAGAAATAAAACTATCAGTGAATCAACAATCTCTGGACAAACATGACAAGTCAACCAACTGACCTGCCTAAGACGCGGGTTAGTGTGTATTTCTCAGTCAGCTCAAGTGGAAGATTGGCATCTTCGTTAGCATTCAGATCCATAAATACATAGGCTGCAGCAAGAAAACAGTTAATACAGCATTCAAAAAAATGTTATTTCAATCAAACAACTGCATATTATCATTTTTTAAATAGAAAAAATGCCCTAAATTATGAATACTTTATCATATTAATTGGTATATAATGAACCATTAACAAGTACCTTTATTTTTCTTCATAGCAAGGGCTATCTCATCATTGTTATTTAGTACCTGTTTCTTTCCTTTACCTAGCACATACAAATAAAAAAAACAGTTAACAAAATCATGTTAATAGTGTTTATATGATTTTTTTTTATTTTACAACATTCAAAAACTTCCACCACAGCCTACAATAACAAGATCCACTACTCCACCACAGCCTACAATAACAGGATCCACTATACCACAGCCTACAATAACAGGATCCACTACTCCACCACAGCCTACAATAACAGGATCCACTACTACACCACATCCTACAATAACAGGATCCACTACTCCACCACAACCTACAATAACAGGATCCACTACTCCACCACAGCCTACAATAACAGGATCCACTATACCACAGCCTACAATAACAGGATCCACTACACCACCACAGCCTACAATAACAGGATCCACTATACCACAGCCTACAATAACAGGATCCACTACTCCACCACAGCCTACAACAACAGGATCCACTACTACACCACAGCCTACAATAACAAGATCCACTACTCCAGAAAAGTTTGAAAACAGTGAGCTTCTATATAGTATAATTTATCTTCTGCCTTTACCCATTCAATGATATTATGGTTGTTTAGTTATGTAGTAACAAGGAGATGGCTGCACAATTATCTATTCAGGTAAAGAAACTTTAGAGCAAGACCATTAGGATAAAAACAAGGACAGGCAACATAGAAAAATATTAACAGAATTTTGTTCCAGTACTGCTTGTATCCTGTAAGACAATGTGTAAAAAAAAGTTTGACTTACCCACTTTATCCCCATTAATGAATGTTCCATCACTGCTTGTATCCTGTCAGACAATGTGTAAAAAAAAGTTTGACTTACCCACTTTATCCCCATTAATGAATGTTCCATTACTGCTAGTATCCTCTAACACAATGTGAGTTCCTGAATTTGACTGTTGCTAGGTTTTTAAAATAAACAACATATTAGGTTTGCTTCATTGTTTTATATTTGTATTGAACAGAGGCAATGTGGCAGCAACTCACTTTATAAAGTTTAAAGTGCACTTTACTGTAGGCTTGAAAACATTGATGGGTCTTTGCTGCATGTGTGCTAAAAGGTACATCACACTCCTCGCCCCTCCCAAAAGTGTAGCAGTCTGCAACTAAGTCTGATGATGAAAAGATTATCTTCCTTAATTTTTATTAGGCCCTGGGCTAATAATAATATTTATTTAAAAACTAGGCATATGCATGCTGTAGTGTAGGCCTATCTGTAGGCCTAGTACAACTAGGTTAGGTAAGTTTATTAATATTAAATTAATGATAAATTTTATTTTAAGGGGCCACAAAGGAATGATGATGACTTGAATTAGAGGGCCTGCATAAAATTAAAATACTTTACTATGAATGGTTTAGTAACTTTAGTTATTACAACATCATACAGCATACTTGAGCATACCCATTGCAATAAAACTTGTTCCAAGGGGAAGTAATCTTCCCCAAGCATTTGTCTGCTGTGAGGGTTCTTCTTCGCTGTATTCCCCATCCACGATATCTTGAGTTGCCATAGTTGCCATGGCATCGGAGCAAAGGCAAAGCCGACTTTAATGTACTTGAATCTATGGCTAACCTATTAATACAGATATAAGGTAATCCCTTAGTTTAGCGTCGGTTATTATTCCAGAATCGTATAGCAGTAAAAAACAGTAAAACAATGCCAAAGTCTGTCACACACTTCCGGAATTCACCGGAAGTACTGTAAACCATACTTTATTTGGTGTCATCTTTTATTTTTATACAGAATGTTTAAAATTTAGATAGATTTATTTTTGTAATCATTTTTACATTTTGTAATCATTTTTACTATTTTCGTAATCTCGATTTTTTTACTTGGCCTAGCAGCTAGATATCTAGCTAGATCTAGATCTAATTAATTAATGGTAGCAAATCCGCTGCAAGCAAAAAACATTAAATTATTAGGCATATATCCATATTTATATTAGCCTACATTTGACTTCATTATTTATTTATATTAATATTTGTTTTTTTTTTTATTTTTAGATCTACTAATTTAAATCTACTCTTATATTTATTCTTGTTTCCTTTTTGTCGATTAAACTTAAAAAATTAAAACATTAATTTACTACAATCGACTTTCAATTTATTTATATTTCAATGGTCAAATAAACCATGGTTTACCGTAACTCTAATTACCGAAACTCAACAAACATTACCCGATAATTTCCGACGCTAAACTAAGGGATTACCCAGATATAATGCTTAATCAGCACGATCCTCTACTTTTTCTACTTTCTTTCCACTCCTAATCGCAAAAGCAAGGGAAAAGACTCCCGGTAGTTACACAGATATCTGCCTTTAGTCCGTTTCGGTGAAAAATTCTATTTTTTTAGACTTGAGAATTAAAACTTATGGCTACTGGTCTGTGGTGACTGTGTGTAAAATGAGCCTCTATCAATAAAATAAAATCGTTTATTTGGTGTGGTTTTTTTTTATTGATTTTAAACGCACTTAGGCCCTAGAGTGTGTAAAAAAAAGAAGTTTTATATATATATATATATATATATATATATATATATATATATATATATATATATATATATATATATATATATATATATATATATATATATATACCTATTTATTTATTTATTTATTCGTTTATTTATTTATTTATCTAACATTATCTTTCTCACTATCTGTCCATCCATCCATCCATCCAATTATTTATTTATTTATTTATTTATTCGTGTATGTTTCAAAAGAGAATATCGATACATTCGATACTTATTATTTTCGAATAGTATGCCTTTTTAATTAGTTTTAAAATTACATTCAAATGCCATATTTGAGCTCACTGTGCAGATACCCTCTGTTACTGATAGTGTCTGACAAGGTGACTCTGGTTAGGGGTCGTCCATAAATGACGTCACACTCGTAGGGGGGGGGTCCGTAATTTTGTGACGGTGTGTGATGAGGGGGAGGGGGGTTCAGATGGTGCGACGTCACATTTTTGCATTATAAAAAGGCAATTTTAGAAAACGAATTTTAGACGTTATTTTGCGTTTTAGAAAACTGTTTTAATTAATTGTAATAGGAATTGATTAAAATATTCTATTTTGACAGAGTTAAGACAATATTCTAGAAAAATATCGATGTTTAAAAAAAAAATTCAACTGCAATTTTAATGGGGGTTGTAGGCTGAGGAGTGACGTCATTTTTGGGGAGGTCTGGCTTTTTGTGACGACGTATGACGGAGGGGAGAGGGGAAGTAAAAATCGTCAAAAAAGCGTGACGTCATTTATGGATGACCCCTTACTCTGAACCTAAACTTATAAGAAGTCTTATTAAAGTAGCAACCTGACTGAGTTTAAAATTATTAATTAAATTGATTTATTGAGTTCCGGGTTTAATATAAAATCTATTGACCGTTATTCTTGTATTGCCAGGATGAGAATTCTATTGGCAAAAAGTAAGTAGAAATAATAATAAGTCTCCCTTCCTTCTTTTTCTCTCAACGATCACTTAGAATACGTGTGATTAGTCATAGTTATATTTTCAACACAGGTTCCTAGTAAATAACGGAAGTAGACCTACGTTTCGTTTCTTGTTGTGGAGATCATGAAAAAAATTTCTCGCGAGAAATTGCCAACACCATGAGAAAAACTATGGCAGATATGGGAAATCTGTGGGAAGGTAATAATAATACAATGAAAGAATGAATCTAATTCCTCTGATTTAATTAAAGCTTCACGTCGTTTTCTAACAGTTTTCATAGCTACTCTTCTTTTTTTGTGTAAAATAAAAATTGGGCATTGGCCACAAAATGAATGAAACTAGAACTAGGCTTTTTGATGAAAATTTCAAAATGATTTTTAATTTTTTAGTTAAAAAATGTAAATCTAGATCTAGATAGAATAGATCTAGCTAGAATCTAGATCTAGACTTAAGACTAGAATCTAGATCTATCAATAAATAGCTAGATCTAGGCCTATCTAGATTCTAGAATTAAGTTCTGCACGAGGTTCAACAAAAGCTGCGGCCATCCCCCTGTTTATCGCTTTGTATATTAGAGCAAATTACATTGTCCGAACACTACGTGGGACCGAACACTTCGTCGGTTTTTGGCTCATAGAAACTTTAATTAGCATGTCTCATGCGAAACCACGGCGCCTGCACGTAAACTGTTCATTTATGAACACTTCCGTGTCAAGTACTTCCGTTTCCTCTCTCAAGAATTATTTTTAGAAAATTTTTAACGTTGCATGGTACGCACATTTCTATTTTTACACCAGCCGGATGAAGTGACCTAGGGTTGGACTTAGGGGCAAAACTTGAACCAATCAACGCTTAGCTAAAAGGTTACACTATAAATAGCTTCTATATATGTATGGAACATCGTAAATGTCAAGGTTAATGGGTTATTTTGTGCTTGAACAATAAAAAAGGGGTGTTCGCTAACTTTTTTTGACCTTACATGGGACCGGACAGCAACACAAAAATATTATTAAATAAGAATTTAGAGCATAAAAGGGGCTGGTTATTGAAGGGAAAGGGTCAAAATAAGGTCAAGAAGGCAGTGGAATGCGAAAGAGGAGGGGGAATCATGTGACCTGGCTGGCTTAGCAGCGTACTGCGCGAGCCGCAATGGCTGAATGGGATGAACTTTGGGAGTGTGGGAAAAAGGTTTTATACTATTAAAATTACCTCACAAACAATCAATAACACAATATAAATGCATATAATATATGTTTTTATTCATTAAATTGACTTTAAATTATTCTAAATGAACAAAAAGTGCTTTGTCCGATGACGGGTAAAGGTGTCCGAACACATTTGAAATTGTATTACATGTGTCCGAACACATGTTAAGACCCCCCAGTCACTATAACAAGAATAGCTAAAGTTCTATGCGTATGAATACAAAATGACACACACATTATTAAAGTAGAATGATTGCGGATAGATATGATACTTTTTTTTCCTTCCTATGTTAAGCGGTTACTGAATGAGACCGCATGGAAGTTTTAAGTTGCGTTTTTTCGCGGTGTGTGTCCGGACAGTGTAATTTGCTCTAATTCACTTAGGCCTATTAATAATTGTTTGGATGTTTTATTTAAATTAGGCCTTTATTAGGCCTATAGATTCTAGTTTTTATAGTTATATGAGTCGTCAACACTACCGATATCTGCTGTATGCATGTCCATTTCTAAATATTTAAGTTTCAAGGTATGACGTGGTAGGCTATTCTAGTTTTCCCTATGAAAAGCACTAGGTCCCGGATGAGATGAATAAAACCAACCAATTAAAGCTTTTTATAACTAGGTTAACTATAAACAGCTTCTACATATGTGCTGAACCCTGTAAATACTATTGTTAAGGCTATTAAAGCAATCAGAGAGGAGAAATTGGGTTGGCCGCAGCTGGGGTAACAAATAGGGTGTTTTACCCTCGCTGCGTCACCAACAACTTGAACTAGACTAGTTTAGATATAAATCCCCTATATTTAAATCTAAATTCTAAGTCTAGAATCTATATATTTTCTAAATTTGTCTGTTGTTTTAAATTATTTTCGATCATCTACTTCTTCTAGATCTAGTTTGTGTCTCTACATACAATCATATCTAAGCAAATGTAACATTATGTCTTGTTAGTAAATGTTAGTGATTGTTATATCCCTTGTATTTAAGGTGTCGCCTAAGATTTTAAAATTCATTATTGTTCAAGATGATTTAAACAATTAAAAACTACATTAATTTACCTTTAATTAATTTGATACCACAAGGCAGGCTCCTTCTTCGTTCTTAATTTTAGTGTTGGAAGGGATCCCCACCAACACAATTTATTATATGTGTCAACTGGTTATGCGCCATTGAAGCCATTGACTCCGATTTCAGCCTGCTTTTCTTTTTGGATTTGCTTCCATAGCCTTTGTCCAACCAAGAAAAAACTACAAGGCAGCAGTTGTTTGATTTTGGAGTTGTCTCTCCTAGAAGAGTGGCTGTCCCCAACTATCAAGCCTCATCTGCCTGAGGGTTTGAACTCGAGACTTTTCGGTTTAGCAACCATGAGCTTTACCGACTCAACCATGCCAGACCCTTAGCTGTTGTCTTGATTAAGTTATTTTTTTAAGGTTTTGTTTTTACCCTGCAGCATGATTTTTAAAAAATTAATGAAATTAGTTAAGTAGGACGCAGTATATAATTTTCTATAGTTCGGAGTATTTTTGAGTAAGTTTACAATGTACAAATGGCAAGTTTGCATTAACACTAATTGTCCATTGTTAAGAGGGTAGGTGCTGGTAAAAAAAAACAACTTTTTTTTATACTAGAGCAAACAAATTTTTCTCTACAGCTTTTTCCACTAAAAAGAATTGGTAAAAAAATTTGGGTAACTATGACAACAGTGGCCATATTTAAATATTAACCTCTTCTTAGGATTTCCTCCATTCATAAAATATTACATTTTAACTTCAATAAACAATGAATTAATAATCTTCTACCACGTTTTGGGGTACTCAGCTAAAAATTTTAAGTGCAGATCTTAAAACTAATTTCTTATGAATTTTCAAAAAGTGGGTCTGTCAAAAACATTAGATTTAATGCCCAGAAACTCTTCAAAATTTAGTGTTTTTACTGGATCCAAAATCTGAAAATTCATAAGAAATTAGTTTGAAGATCTACATATGCTAAGCTATGCCCCATATAGCAAATATGAACTTAAACTTAAATCATAATACTTTTTCTCATAAATATACCTCATTCACAAGTCAGGACAAATGCTTTTAATATATTTTTATTATTATAAGTCGTATTTTGCATGAAATTATAGACAATCTCTTGCCAAGTTGACAAAACCAGGTGCATTTATCTACCCTGGTAACTATTAGTTCCTGAGAAAAATTACCAGTTGAAAATTTTCAGCAACAACACTTTATAATTGACTGTAAGCTAAATGTGTTGATTTGTGCACAGATTTACTGTAAGCTAAATGTGTTGATTTGTGCACAGATTTACGGCGCCAGGCCAGGCAGCTGGAGAATGAGATAGACTTGAAGCTTGTGTCTTTTAGCAAACTTGGGACAAGCTATTCCACTCAGCGAGATTATGAAAGGTTTGTATTTTTATTTTCTCTTACACGTGCTTTGTCAGTGACTCTGGTAAAAACAGTTGATTGTGAACTAGATCTATACCAAACAAAATCAGTTTGATCTACTTTGTATTTTTTTTAATTGCTAAACAAAGACCCTGTGACTCAATCTTTTTTATTCACAAAACATTGATTTTGTTTTGAAGGAATAGAGATTTTTAACAATTTATTTTGTTGTTTTAGGATCTATTTTTTTTTTTGGAAAATATGCTTTAGTGTTCTAGAAAATTGACAATTTTTATCAAAATTATAAAATTTAGTTGTTTTCTTTTGGCTTCTGTTTATACTGTTTTCTAAAAGAAGTTACCGTGTTAATTGACATTCGCCATTGGAAATAATTAACTTAAGGATTAGTTTTTTCAAAGACTTTTTAAAATTTGTTGTTGAGGTGTATAACTTGTTGATTTGGAAATAAAGTTTTGTTTTCTAACATACTAAATATATCTGAGAAGCAAATGCATTTTTTTTTTAAATTAGGATATTAGCCTACAAAAAAACATGAACAGTTGATTTAGAAATTATGATTCGCTCTATACCTGATCCTTTACTTCATTACACATTCTTGTTTTAAATTATTTGACATTTTTAAACTTGAATTTGAATGAAGTACTTGAAATAGAATATTTCTACTTTAGAACCATTACCACAAAAAAAAATTATTTTCTCATCATCCAGAAAGTCTCAATACCAATTTTTTAGCCTTGAAAGTGTAGCATAGTTTCAATGTACTAGGTAATCTAGTACAGTTGTTAGTGGCATTATTCTGCATTCTATGTAAGTTGCTTGTGGTAGTCTCCCTTGCGGTTGAATGCTGTCCCCTTGTCAAGCCATGTATTTTAGACAGCTTGTATACTGCCTCTAATAAACATAGCCCAAATAAGCTTTTAAAGCAACTAATGTGTGTATCCACTGGGATGTGTTACTTACTTATCTGTGGCTGTCAGCCTCCCTGTAATCAACATAGCCCACATAAGCTTTTAAAGCAACTAATGTGTGTATCCACTGGGATGTGTTACTTACTTATCTGTGGCTGTCAGCCTCCCTGTAATAAACATAGCCCACATAAGCTTTTAAAGCAACTAATGTGTGTATCCACTGGGATGTGTTACTTACTTATCTGTGGCTGTCAGCCTCCCTCTAATAAACATAGCCCAAATAAGCTTTTAAAGCAACTAATGTGTGTATCCACTGGGATGTGTTACTTACTTATGTGTGGCTGTCAGCCTCCCTGTAATAAACATAGCCCAAATAAGCTTTTAAAGCAACTAATGTGTGTATCCACTGGGATGTGTTACTTACTTATCTGTGGCTGTCAGCCTCCCTGTAATAAACATAGCCCACATAAGCTTTTAAAGCAACTAATGTGTGTATCCACTGGGATGTGTTACTTACTTATCTGTGGCTGTCAGCCTCCCTGTAATAAACATAGCCCACATAAGCTTTTAAAGCAACTAATGTGTGTATCCACTGGGATGTGTTACTTACTTATCTGTGGCTGTCAGCCTCCCTCTCTCTTTAAACTCAGCCAGCCCCCAGCCTGAGGCCAGGTAAGAAAATATCTTTTTTTACTGCATTGCATGGGCTAGGTTACCTACATCACTCTTACCTCCCTTACCAGTTTTTTTTGTTTGAGACCACACACATACCTTCTAACATTTCTTCCAACTTGTAAGTCTAATTATCTAAGGGTGAAATAGTTTTTTTAGATCAATCTAAAGAAACTATCAATGAGATATTTTACTTGTATTAAATCAATTTATTTTATGAGGGCAACTTTAATCAGAAAAACACAAGAAATAATTCCATTGAACAAACACTGACACAGTGCTGGGTTTTCTTTCTTTCTGTTGTCTCTTGGCTTTGTGTATTTGGCTGGGTAGCACTGGTTTTAACCAGGGCATTGTCTTAGAATATTTGGCTGGGTAGCACTGGTTTTAACCAGGGCATTGTCTTAGAATATTTGGCTGGGTAGCACTGGTTTTAACCAGGGCATTGTCTTAGAATATTTGGCTGGGTAGCACTGGTTTTAACCAGGGCATTGTCTTAGAATATTAGCACTTAAAGGTCTGCAAATGATTACATCAACGACCAAATACTTTCAGACGGTCAGAGAGACAGAATGCTACCAATGGACGTTATTCCTCATCTTTCACTGACCTCTCAAGGTAGGAAGGGATGAGACCTGCTCGTCATACACCTCAGTTTGGCTACTAACCACACAGATCTGTTTTTTCATAGCATGGGTGGTTACTTTAAATAATCTCAGTTGGCAGTGGTTCAAATGTATGGTATGAGGTGTTTTATTGTCCACCTGGTAGAACTAATAACAAACACATAAGGATACCTTGGTATAGCCAATAACAAACACATAAGGATACCTTGGTATAGATAATAACAAACACATGAGAATGCCCTGGTATAACTAATAATAAAAAGCATTGGTATAGCTAAAATTAAACACATAAGAATAAATAATTACACACTGGCAATTAAATTGGGACATAGAGCCTAAACCCAGTTTGTATCCAAATTTGCTTAAAGACCTTGTAACGCTTGGTTTTGGACAGGCCACTATTTGTATTGTGTTGATTATCCCCATCACTACCCTGGTCACCATTATAAGGGGCTAAATTCTATTTTTAGCATTAGTTGCTGTATATACTCACTCTAAATGCTCAAATCTTCACACGACCACTCACCCCAACCTGAACAAATTACTTACTTTTTATTTTATAATACTTATATTAATACCCTCAACTTCCTTCAACTTCAATATTTCTTTAAAAAAAAAAAACCCAAAAAAGCCTGAGTATGTACAATAACTATTTTGTTGCTTTTATACTTTTATTAATTTATTTACTTGGTGTAATAAACTTAAGGTTTGTATATTTATAAAGAAAATGTGTAGATGTTTCATGTATAACTAACTGCATGCCATCTCCTTCCTAGTATAGTCTCAACCTAAAATATGAACATGTCAAATAGAAGCCTAACAGTTGTACAAAACTTGTAACTGAACAAATTTGATTCCAGTTTTTAATTGGCAGAGCTAGTACAAAAATTGACACTCAATTTATATAAATAAAGCTGAGAGTAGCATTAACATAGTGTTCTATGGTAACTAGTTTACTTACACATACAGGTTTATCATTGATTTCACTTAAACAATGGCACCTGAAACAAAACCATTAACTGTTTGGTTTTTTAAAATGACATGTTATGAAACAAATTAAATACAAACCCACTTTTCAGCTTTTAATTTTTCTAAATCCTATATTGTTTATAAATGTGTAATGCTGACTCAAGTTTAATTTTCCTTCAGGAAATTGTATGCACATTTGTTTCTGATCTTTCTTCAAGTTCCATCTTTTTGTTCAGCATGTATCTGTATAGTGAGGTTACTTTCTAATGTGGGGATCATACATGGCTTTATGAATACAGGGCAAGGGTCTTTTTCAGCAGTTAAAGTGAAATAGAGTTGATATGATATTAATTATGACGTTCCAACATTTAATCAATAATTGTTTGTGTAGAATTAGCACGTCATATAAATCTATTGCTACATCAGATCACTAGCTGTTGCTATGAGTTTCACTTTATTTCGTAATGTGTTTGTCATGTTTTTTGCTCATTGATAGAAAAAATTTTTTACACATCATCCAATAAGATTATTTTGTAAAATATTTTTAAAAATTTAATAATACAGTAAATGGCTAACTATTACTGCTGTTTGTATTTTAAAATATATGACATAGTACTCTTGTACTAGCAGGTGTTTTTATAATGATATGGTCAGTATTTTCTAGAGTTTGACTAACTTAAGTTAAATCAGTGAAGATTACTTTTGTATTTGTTTTATGAGTGACATTTCTATGTAAGCACTAGAAAGGTAACCCATTTAAAGCTGAAATAGTTGTATTGTGGGTATCTAGTGATAGTAGTTAGATTGGTGATATAGTTGTATTGTGGGTATCTAGTGATAGTAGTTAGATTGGTGATATAGTTGTATTGTGGGTACATAGTGATAGTAGTTAGATTGGTGATATAGTTGTATTGTGGGTACCTAGTGATAGTAGTTAGATTGGTGATATAGTTGTATTGTGGGTACCTAGTGATAGTAGTTAGATTGGTGATATAGTTGTATTGTGGGTACATAGTGATAGTAGTTAGATTGGTGATATAGTTGTATTGTGGGTACCTAGTGATAGTAGTTAGATTGGTGATATAGTTGTGGTGGGCTATTCATGGCACTAAGTACCCCATGTAGATAACACTTCTCTGGTTGATTGTGTTAGTTAAGATCTGGGATCAGCTGTAATGTTGTCCACAATCACCTAGTTGTTGATGTCTGCAATGTTGTCCACAATCACTGATGTCTGTACTGTTGTCCACAATCACCTAGTTGTTGATGTCTGCAATGTTGTCCACAATCACTGATGTCTGTAATGTTGTCCACAATCACCTAGTTGTTGATGTCTGTAATGTTGTCCACAATCACCTAGTTGTTGATGTCTGTAATGTTGTCCACAATCACCTAGTTGTTGATGTCTGTAATGTTGTCCACAATCACCTAGGGATTGATGTCTGTAATGTTGTCCACAATCACTTAGTTGATGTCTGTAATGTTGTCCACAATCACCTAGTTGTTGATGTCTGTAATGTTGTCCACAATCACCTAGTTTTTGATGTCTGTAATGTTGTCCACAATCACCTAGGGGTTGATGTCTGTAATGTTGTCCACAATCACCTAGGGATTGATGTCTGTAATGTTGTCCACAATCACTTAGTTGATGTCTGTAATGTTGTCCACAATCACCTAGTTGTTGATGTCTGTAATGTTGTCCACAATCACCTAGTTTTTGATGTCTGTAATGTTGTCCACAATCACCTAGTTGTTGATGTCTGTAATGTTGTCCACAATCACCTAGGGATTGATGTCTGTAATGATGTCCACAATCACCTAGTTGTTGATGTCTGTAATGTTGTCCACAATCACCTAGTTTTTGATGTCTGTAATGTTGTCCACAATCACCTAGTTGTTGATGTCTGTAATGTTGTCCACAATCACCTAGTTTTTGATGTCTGTAATGTTGTCCACAATCACCTAGTTGTTGATGTCTGTAATGTTGTCCACAATCACCTAGGGATTGATGTCTGTAATGATGTCCACAATCACCTAGTTGTTGATGTCTGTAATGTTGTCCACAATCACCTAGGGGTTGAATAATGGTGTCCACAATCACCTAAGGGAGACTAATGTCCATGTTTCTCTCTCAGTGATACAGCCCCCTTGTTGAACAAAGCCAGCAGTGAACACATGTTTGACACTATGGCCATGGAGATCTCACAGCTGTTAGCAAAGGTTAGTGCTTGATAATGGTTGGGTGGGTTGTTCCAGCCAATCATGGGGTTGGTTGTTCCTGTCTGAAATTGTTTGGCTCCATGTATCACTTCCTGTCTGAGATTGTTTGGCTCCATGTGTCACTTCCTGTCTGAGATTGTTTGGCTCCATGTGTCACTTCCTGTCTGAGATTGTTTGGCTCCATGTGTCACTTCCTGTTGACAGCTGACAGAGGTGAATGACAGGATGGTGGAGTACACCCAGAACATCTCCACCTCCTCTCCCAGTGCTGCCCTCATGCACACCCTCCAGCGCCACCGCGACATCCTGCAGGACTACTCACATGAGTTCCAGAAAACAAAGGCCAACATCACAGCCATGAGGGAAAGGGAAGACCTGCTGGGCTCTGTCCGCAGGGACATCAAGTAAGTCTTAAACATCAGCATGGTACAGGGACATCAAGTAAGTCTTAAACATCAGCATGGTACAGGGACATCAAGTAAGTCTTAAACATCAGCATGGTACAGCGAACCTCTCACACATCAAGTAAGTCTTAAACATCAGCATGGTACAGCGAACCTCTCACACATCAAGTAAGTCTACATCATCATGGTACAGCGAACCTCTCACACATCATCATTGTAAGGCAAACATCTAACACATTACCATTGTAAGGCAAACATCTAACACATTACCATTGTAAGGCAAACATCTAACACATTACCATTGTAAGGCAAACATCTAACACATCATCATTGTAAGGCAAACATCTAACACATCATCATTGTAAGGCAAACATCTAACACATTACCATTGTAAGGCAAACATCTAACACATCATCATTGTAAGGCAAACATCTAACACATCATCATTGTAAGGCAAACATCTAACACATTATTGTAAGGCAAACATCTAACACATTACAATTGTAAGGCAAACATCTAACACATTACAATTGTAAGGCAAACATCTAACACATTATCATTGTAAGGCAAACATCTAACACATCATCATTGTAAGGCAAACATCTAACACATCATCATTGTAAGGCAAACATCTAACACATTATTGTAAGGCAAACATCTAACACATCATTATTGTAAGGCAAACATCTAACACATTATCATTGTAAGGCAAACATCTAACACATCATCATTGTAAGGCAAACATCTAACACATCATCATTGTAAGGCAAACATCTAACACATCATCATTGTAAGGCAAACATCTAACACATCATCATTGTAAGGCAAACATCTAACACATTACCATTGTAAGGCAAACATCTAACACATTACCATTGTAAGGCAAACATCTAACACATTACCATTGTAAGGCAAACATATATCCTGTCACATCATTGTTACATCTTACACTTCATCATTTTAAGGCACACATAGTCATCATTATAAGACAAAAATGATTGAATATTTTATGGGCTTAAAATATATATCTGAGCTTTTCATACCTAATGTCCTGATATTTCAGTGCTTACAAGAACTACTCTCAATATATCTGAGCTTTTCATACATAATGTCTTGATATTTCAGTGCTTACAAGAACTCCTCATCCCTGAATAGGAGGTCTGATATGTACCTCAAAGAACATGATCATATACGCAAGTAAGTCATTTACTATCTTTAATTTATGTCTTTGTTCTGATACAAAAAGTAAATGTTGCCATTGTCTCCTGCTGTCAAAAGGTTGACTTTTATTAAATATTTAATATGGTGCTCTTAAACTTGTAATTTAATTCATTTAATTCTTGATTTTATTTTCCAGTTCAGAAAGATTAGTGGATGAACAAATCAGGTAACACTTACATTGACTTACATGGTTAAATAACTTATTAGTGACCATAAGTTTTTTTTCATCCACTTTAATTATAAAACACATGGATATACAATCAATTTTTTAAACTTTGTTGATTGTCTATAATTTCAGCATAGCCATAGCCACAAAAGAAAATCTTCAGTCACAAGGAAAGTTTTTGAATACCATCAACCAAAAAGTCAACGCTTTTGCCAGTATCCTTACATAGATTTTACTCAAATTTATGAATGCCAATTCATTCTATTGCTGTTTAGTTTTTTTTTTTTTTAAATTGTTTTTTTTTTCCATTCCTTGATAGTCTTTAAATGTAGTAGTGTTGTCTCCCATCCACATTACTAATAAAATTATCTCCCATGTTACCAACTATGCTACAATATATTAAACTAGCTGCATCCCGTGCTCCGCCACGGTAAATCTTTTTAAAATATACCATATTTGGAACACAACAAAACAAACAAAAACACAACACAAACAAAACACAACCGCAACCACAACACAACCACATTACAACCACAACACAATCACAACACAACCACAACACACGGTAAATCTTTTTTAAATGTACCAAGTTGGGAACAGAACAAAACTAAATACAACACAAACGAACGCAAAGAAAAAACAAAAACGAAAAAACAAACACAACACTCAACATAAACTCAATTTAAATGTAATCATAAAGGCATATTGCTCACAGTCTATCCCGTAGCGCCAAATCACGCCCTTTCCGAGCGCGGGCGGAAAATTTCGATTTACACCCTCCCACCTCCCTCAAACTTTCGATTTCCACCCTCCCCCCCCCCCCCTCTTGCTAGGCCTCTGTTATAAAACCCCTAGCTTTTCCGCAAATAAATTAAAGGCAGTATTTAGAATATCCGTGTTTTACCGACCATATTGCACTTTATAAATTCATGCATTTTTTTCAGTACTTTTATAAATTTACAATAAAGTTTCATAACTAAAACCATTGCGCACCTAATGAACGTGATGACTTAATATAGTAATGGAGAATAGTTGATTAAAAATTATAATTAGTAAACAGTACATTCAGTGAATAAAATAAATAAAAGATAGCCTTTTATCAATCAATGCTAATAATAATATTCCAACAATAATGTACTCTTACACGTCTGCATAATTTGCATTCACATTTTGCTAATTATATTATTCCAACAATTATTCCGTCTTGCAGATTTTGCATTCACATTTTTAGCGTGAGTTCAATTTATCTTTGAATTACCTCCATTGGCAAAATTACTAAGAAGTTTAATTAGATTTTTCTACCTTACTGTTATTATGTTATTAATATGTATCCACTTTTTCTGGGAATATTAACGAAAACGATATTTGACATTGATCCTTTTAATATGTTTTAGCAATGTGCGTGTATTTAATGTTCTCTTTACGTTATGCAAAATTGTACAAACAGTGGAAATTATAAAATAGCTCTATGCCGTTATATAAATAAACCCTACTCTATTACCTATAATAAGACACTGCGGTGCACTGAAAAGCACAGCTTGGTGCGATGTTTACTTTTATGGTTCCAAAATCTATAGCGATGACTTATGGTTCCAAAATCTATAGCGATGACAGAAGGAAGGACTGACATACGCTCAGCCCGCTTATATTATAGATGATGCCCCTTGCTGACACTTATACAAAACCTTAACACATCTCAGACCGCTTCCCTATGATTAACAGCCTTGTACAGAAGATCAACCTGAGGAAGAGAAGGGACTCCATCATCCTGGGCCTTGTCATAGCTGTCTGTGTCATCCTCATGATCTTGTTCACCTTCCACTGACACGTCACCGACGTCTGACATGGCCACAATCACCTCTCAGGTCAAACAGCTCATCCAGCTGAAGACAAACATGGAGCCAAAGAAAAAATGTTTCCTCTATAATTTGTACATGTCCTCATGTGTCAGAGGAGATGTTCCCAGTGTGGCATAAGACAATGGCTGCTGCTGTAGGACATGTCTACAACCCTCCCCCCCTTCAGGCTACTACAACACACATCATCTTAGCTCATGCCTTATTTCACTTCTGGTTTTTCTTCATTCAATTCTATTTTAATATGTTTTGAGAAAATGGTGATTTAAGCATGTTGGCTTGCTTGTTGGGAGAAGTTTGGAGTTGTATGTGTGCAAAATGTAAGATGGATGGTTGCTCAGACTGTGTGCCCATGTGATCTGGGGTTTTTACTGTAAGATGTGTTTGTGACAAAATGTAAGATGGATGGTTGCTCAGACTGTGTGCCCCATGTGATCTGGGGTCTTACTGTATGTAAGATGTGTTTGTGCAACATGAAAGATGGATGTATGTTGAAGACGCTAACTGTACATATTTTCTGTCACAGAGAAAGGTTGACATATCCTTGCTGTCCATAAGATTGTGTCTGGCAACGTTTCATTGTAAATAATCAACTGTGATTTTTGTAAATACACATTTTGAGGGATGTTTTTTAATTGGTTTATTTGCTGATCTGAAGAGATCAGTGAAAATTTGCTTCAATACTGGGATTTATTTAATGGACTGGAATAGGGTTTATTTTCCTATGCTTGGTGTAATAGTATTGATTCATTTCTACAAAGTATCTGGAAATAAACATGAAGTTTTTAAATGTGTTGCATCCAAATAACTTGCTAACAAGTGAAGATTTTTTAAAATTGTTTTTGTGTATTTGAATAATTTTTTACTTGAAAGCAGGTTGAGTAACAAATAGCTTGTCTGCTGTTGAATACCTGTTTGTATTGAGAATTTTATTTGAAGCAATATGATACTTGATGTTGACATCTTTAAATAAACATAACTTATATGATGGTTTTCAGTCCAGAAATAAGTTACAGACTATTGTTAGGAACATGAAATCTATCAACTTGCTTGTGAGCTAATAGAGGCAGTCATCTTTATCTACATTGATACACAAATGTGTAGACTGTCTAGTGTACCAGGTTTACACACCAAGCTGTCATTATTTTAAAACTGCCCCAGATAAATTAGTTGCTCTCAAATCATTCACTCTTCCTAATGACCTCAGTTCTAGACTAATTTCCTTCTAGGATTTCCACTTCCTTGTGTTGCTGGCTGCACTGTGAGTGAGCCAAGTGGAAGATATGGAGTAGATTTCTGGTCTACATGTATGGGTTAAACTATACAAGATGCTCTTTTCATTTAGCAGAAATATGTCAGTTTTTACCATGTTTATGCATAATGAACATATAAATCATCCCTATATAGAGTTTGGCACTGGTTATTGTTTATCCCTCTTGACCGAGTACTACAAAGTGTTAAATGATTGGTACTTTATTGATCTGTGGGATGATCATGGTAACTTTTATTTTCTATGTAAAACAATCTGTCATAAAGCATGTCCTTTCACTGCCATAACTTTTCCATCTGAAAGATGTGCATGTTGTGTGTTTTGTATGAACCAACATTGTGTATGCTGTATGAATGTATTGTTTTGTATGAACATTGTGTATGCTGTGTTTTGTATGAACCAACATTGTGTATGCTGTGTGTTTTGTATGAACCAACATTGTGTATGCAGTATGAATGGATTGTTTCATATGAACCAACATTGTGTATGCTGTGTGTTTTGTATGAACATTGTGTATGCTGTGTGTTTTGTATGAACCAACATTGTGTATGCTGTGTGTTTTGTATGAACCAACATTGTGTATGCAGTATGAATGGATTGTTTCATATGAACCAACATTGTGTATGCTGTGTGTTTTGTATGAACCAACATTGTGTATGCTGTGTTTTGTATGAACCAACATTGTGTATGCAGTATGAATGTATTGTTTTGATGAAAGTTTGGGACCACTAGAAGAGGGACTTTTTATTTATTGAATGTGACTCACCATCATAGTGAACTGTACATATATATTTTTGGTCTATTTATCTTCAAAACCTTTTATCATGTTGTTTTATTGTATTCTTGTTTGCATATTGCAAATATGAAACCAAATTGAAATAAAATGGATCAGACAGAAATGTTTTGACATTTGAATGCTGGTGTCAGCTTGTGGTTGTTTCTTCCCACTGGTTTATTGACATTAATAATACTATTTAGCAATTCATTCAAATAAAACAAAAAAGCATTTTTAGAGGTTTTTTTAATAGAAGGTTAAATCCCAAAGCAAATGGAAGAAATTTGCAAGAAAACAAAAATAGTTGCATCAATTAAATTTGTCAAGTTCTTTATATACAAACTTAAAGCCCATAAGAGCATTTATGAACCATAAACTAAATAAAAAAGGCAAAAGATTGACTATAAGGGAGCGAAGCATTATCTTTATGGACCCATAGCCACAATATTATATGACGTGCTTATATAATGAAGGAAAAAAAAGGCCCCATGCATAAAAATACTGGACGTTTGTTTACATCTTGGAGTACTTGGAAATGTTAGATTGTCTAAAAGACTTTTCCCAGTTAGAGCCATCAAATTTTTTCATGTTGTAAGACTTGAGGGTGCCTGGGTCGAGACAGTGGGGCATTACACCTGCCAGTGAGAAAACAAAAACACTCTCAATGTTGACTGACATTAAATTACACCTGCCAGGGGGAAACAAAAACACTCTCAATGTTGACTGACATTAACAAACATTTCAAGGCAGACAACACTTTAACTAAAGACGTTCAAACGCTCGACTCTAGACTTTAAAATGTATTGTTAAGCTAAAAATTGAGAAAACATGAACCACAAAAAATAAATTTACCAATGCCATCTTGGTTGGACCGGGGTGTGTAGAAACTCTGGACACCACACGTTTTACAGAAGGTGTGTTTGGCTTTGTGCGTGTTGAATGTGTACGTGGTTAGATTGCTTTTACCCTGAAACAAAATTCATTTTTTTACAGAAAATTTGTTTGGCTGTGTGTGTGTTGAATGCTTATGTACAGTAGTTCTCTTTTATTCTGAAACAAACAAATTTTCTTACATAAGATGTGCTTGCTGAATGTGTACATTGTAAATATTGTAATATTAACTATGAACATGAGAATAACAAATATTCTTGCATTTAATAATTTTAAAAATATACACACTTTATCCTACCTGAAGAAGAGTAAAGCTATCCTTTGGGACAATAAAATGGAAATTCTGTTTCTTCAAACAGATGCTGCAACTAAACAAAATTTTAAGAAACTGACACAATAGGATTAGAGTCTAAAAATGTAGGATACTGACAATAGGATTAGCATGAACAAAATTTCAGATACTGACAAAATAAGATTAGCCTAAACAAAATTTTAAAGGATTAGCCTAAACAAAATGTAAGATATCGACGCAATGGGAATGGCCTATTAAAATCAACTCAATATATTTAGCTATAGAAATATTTTAAAGACTTCTCATGAAAAAACCTGTTTCTTGATAATACATAAACTTTTAATGTATCTAGAAGAAAAAAAAAAATAATTTGTATCATAAAGCTAGCAAGGGCTTATCAAAAAGACAGTTTTGCTTTACATTTAGACTTGCTTGTGGCTTTCTTATAAAATAATCAGTATGTGTTTTGGAATTAGCTTCTATGTCTGAATTGTATATAAAAGTGGATAACTTGGACTCTTCCGCTCAATATTTCTAAGTTGTTTTGATGGTGGTTGCTCACTGCTGGTGTATAAGGATTTCTAGTGAGCTTAGGTGATTTATTACAGCAGGATACTATTTGAGGCATCGTTGACCTTTTCATATAAATACTGTGTGGTCAACACAGAGGCGTAGCGAGGGGGGGGGCGGGGGGGGGGGACATATGTCCCCGGGCGCCGACCTTAGGGGGGGCGCCAAATTGAAAGTTTGAGGGGGGGGGTGCAAATGAAAAGTTCGAGGGGGGGTGCAAATCGAAAGTTTGAGGGGGGGGGGGGTGCAAATGAAAAGTTCGAGGGGGGGGGGGGGTGCAAATCGAAAGTTTGAGGGGGGGGGGGGTGCAAATGAAAAGTTCGAGGGGGGGGGTGCAAATCGAAAGTTTGAGGGGGGGTGCAAATCGAAAATTTGCTCCCGAGGGGGGCGCCAAATTGAAAGTATGTCCCTGGGCGCCGGGAAGGGTCGCTACGCCTCTGGGTCAACACTATGCTCTAAGTCATGTACTCATTTGAGCTGGGTGTTCTCAGTGACATCCACTAGCAAGAGCCTGAATCCCAACCTGAGATTTTAGAGTTTGTGGAGTTAGTAATCTCAAGACCAAATAAATGGCTCAATAGTCTGATAGACAAAAGGAGGATTGCTCCAAGGACCAAGAGTTGACAATATATCAGGTCCCCTCCCTGTATGCAGCAGATGGACCCAATGGAGAGTAATCAAGACTTGGCTGAAGTGATCACTACTAGACAAGAGTAATCTAAATTTGGAGACCATTTTCCATAATAAAAGTTCCGTGACTTACTCCTACATAACTAGACATGAGTGATATAAATTTGGCAAGCATGTTCTATTATATTCACTCACTCACTCCTACATTACTAAGCATGAGTCATGTAAATTTGGGAAGCATGTTCTATTAAATTCACTGACTTACTTGCAAGAGAAAACATCAACTTTTTCTGGCGCTATGACCTTGAACCTTACAGCACCACAGTGACAGCCTCCGTGGTGTTCCACTGGCTGTGACTGAACCTCTTCTTCATCTTAGAATAAATTTAATTCACATATATACAAATATGCATTTTGTTCAAAAAAATATTTTTTCCTAATGTTTCTTAACTATTCCTATAAAATAGTAATGTAAATCAAAATAGTAAATGTAATTTACTTTTTGGCAACATCCTATCTTTTGGAAACCTGAAGGGTAAATTTAAGTAGCCGATAATATGGTCCCAGTTACGCATCAGTGATTTTTTTTTTATTGACAGCCTCTGGTAGACCCTGAACAAAGCTGTTTTAAGAGCTGGGGGAGACACATTGGCGTATTCAGGAGTCGATGTAAAATGTTTGACAATGTCTGAGTAGACGCGCTTGTGTTTGTACCAGAGGTAGACCATGTGACCATTACAATACTGGGCTGGTTTACTGGCCTCAGGGTTAAAGTTCAGCTCGACATATTTCACCAGGTCTGGCAGCTTCTTGTTGCCATTTGATGTCATTTTGGTTTACACTTGGGGCAAATCTGCACAAAGTAAAAAGGTTACAAGTCATTTTGGTTTACACTTGGGGCAAATCTGCACAAAGTAGAAAGCTTAGATGTCATTTTGGTTTACACTTGGGGCAAATCTGCACAAAGTAGAAAGCTTAGATGTCATTTTGGTTTACACTTGGGGCAAATCTGCACAAAGTAGAAAGGTTAGATGTCATTTTGGTTTACACTTGGGGCAAATCTGCACAAAGTAGTAGTAGTAAGGTTACAAGTTATTGGTTTATTTTAATAAAGTAAAATTCCCATTTCGGACCTAATGATCCATAGGGCAGATGAAGTAGAGTTCACATTTCTTAACATCAACATATGATATTGTCATTGTGGTCAGCACCATAATTCTAGATTCTAGATCTACAATTTTGTTAACCCACCAAAAAAATTACTGGACTGTCACAGTACTGTAGCTACAGCTGCTTTTGTGATAGCACACATAGATCTAGATCTTCATCTAGATCTAAATCTAGATTCTAGATATCTTTTTTTCAGCTGGTTTTCTTTTTGCAAGTGAATGAATTTATTGTGAATTTAACTTTTTGCAATAACAAACAGTTAATTACAGTAGCCGCCCCTTACAAAAGAAAGCTGTAAAAAATGGAATTGCCAGGTTTCGGTTTTATTCACTAGTTTTACTTTATTTTTAAACAAAGATTGGGGTATTTCCGAATACTGTAAAAAGTAATTCATCTCTTACTTTTAATGTAAAAAAAATCTTAAGTTTATGATTTATCATGAGATAAAGCGCAACATTTCCCATTGTAAAATTACCTGTTAGGCTTAAAGTTATTAAAAGTAAGCTAACTCGTGTATTACCAATCACTTTGCCTTTTTATTTTGTTGTCACGCGATTGATGTAGAAAACAATTAAATAAGCCCGTAATGTCAAGTACCAGTCTAATTTCTTTGCTTCGACTCTATGTAATTCAGTAATGAGCTTTTTATATTATTATATCAACCACTTCTCTCCCCCCCCCCCCCTTCTTGCTACCAGTGTTTCTTCCAGACTTTTTTCTCCGGGGGGCACTCGAAATTTTCGGGGGGGGGGGGGGCGGTAGACTTTCTTCGGGGGGTGGACACTGTTAAAAGTATATATTTTCTATATAAATTATATACATTTCATTTCGTTCAGGGGGGCGGTAAAAAAATTTCGGGGGGCTTAGCCCCCCCCCCCCCCCCGAAGAGATGCCTGGAAGAAACTCTGCTTGCTACCCCACAGGTAATGGTACACACCTGGACCTGAGTCAGTGGCGTGCAGAGGGGGGGGGGGGGGGCGGACGGGGCCCAGGCCCCGGGCATCCACCACTGGGGGGCATCCAGCGGAGGTAAAAAAAAAATTTAATTAACTCTTTAAGCCCGTAATTATTTTCACGTTTTACCGGAATTATTTTTTTCCCCTCATTTTTTTTCAGTACCCCTGCGGCTAAATGACCCATATCTTTTTACCCGTTAATTTAAACCCCACACATTATTGATAAAAATTAATCGTAATTGAATACCCTACACACTGATATAAATTTTAAGGAATTATTTATTTATTGAAGAAAGATAATTACTTAGTTTTAAAGAAGAAAAAATAAAGAGTTGATTTTTTAGTGCAAAAATTACGCTTCTTTCGGGAAAATTAATAATAAGAATAACTTTTCATGAGTTCTTATTCATAGAAAACGAAAGTACGTCCATTTATCTACAAAAATCATGGATCGGATTAGTCTTAGTATAAATACTTTAATTTTCGTTAATTTTATAATGCGGCGATGTAAACGTTTGGACGCGGCCGCTAAACGGCATTCCGCAGTGTTAAAAAATGCCGTTTTTTCGAGTAGTTTTAAAAAAAAATTCTATAAAATACAAAATCGATCTAACGAGAAATCTACAAGAAGTAAATACAACGAAAAATGGCCGCTCTAGCGTTATCATGACCTATATTTACGATTAAAAACTTGGATTTCGAAAAACAACGAATTAAATAGAGAAAATTTTATCGGACGCTGGGAGCGTCGTTACGGTATGGCAGGCCGGCAGACCGACCGCTGGGAGCGTCGTTACGGTCTTAAAGAGTTAATTAATTTATTTATCTATTTATTTTTTTTTTTTTTTTTTTTTTTTTTTTTTTTTTTTTTTTTTAGTAATTTAAAAACTGTTGTGATATGTCGTGTCATAGTGTCATCTTAACTTTCCATATGTTTTGCGATCTCACTCAAAAAAATTGTAACACTCAATCGTCTGTCAGCCGATTTAACATTACACTGTCCGTATGGCAAAACTTAAATAGAAACAGTGGGCATCAGTGAAGGGTAGTCCTACGGAAGTCAATGATATTCCATTAATGAATGTGTGTCATATTTATTTAGTATAGTGTAGGGGCATCGTTTAGAGTACTTGTGACCAAGTTATTCCCATGCACTGTATTAGGGCATCTTTAAAGTAATATGCGCGTATTCGTTATACTCATTTTCAAGGACATCCGTCGAGTAATTAAATCATATTTATTTTTATACACTATAGGGGCATCTTTAAAGTAATTATTCGTATATTCATTATAATATATTTTATGAGCATTTACTAATATGCCCACTTCACTTTATAATACATTTTAAAGGCATCCATACAGTAAGTATGCCCATCTTCATTTTATATATTGTAGGGGCATCTTGAAAGTAATTAAGCTTATATTCATGTATTACACTCGAAGGACATGCAACAGTAATTACACCAATCATCGTTGTTAACATTGGGGGCATCTCTAAAGCTATTTTTTAATGTACTTCTTCATTATTATCCATTTTAAGGGCATCCAAAGGGTAATTATGCCCATATTATTATTATAAATTTTTGGGGCATCTTTGGTGAAATATATGGCCATTTGCAGTGTAATAACTTTTTTTTGTTAAATTGTATGGGCAGCATTCAGTGGCGTAGCTAGGATTTTCGGTCCCCTATGCAAAAATTAACAATGTTAATGTTAGTCGCCCGCTCTCCCCCACACTGAATGCCACTGCCTGTACACTAAGAAAGGACTTGGGGCCTTTTTTAAATTAAATTATTTCTACAGTAGAAAAAAAAACTTGATTTCATTAATTTTTTAAAAATTATTTATATAAAATAAATATCAAAATTCCAATGTAAAAGTTTTAACTTTTTAAAAGAAGGAAAATGGCCCCTATTTGCCTTGGGCCCCTATGCCTTGCTTACTCTAGCTTTACGGTAGCTAAGCCACTGACAGCCATTAGTATATTTTTTTCATGCATTGTATAAGCATACTTAAGAATAAGAATGCCCATATAATGTTTTTGATACACATTAGCGTCAATCTTAAGAATACGAATCAACATATTGTTTTCGATACATTGTAATGATATCATTCAGAATAATTGCGCCCATATTGATTTTTACAAATAGGAGGAGCATGCTTTAAGTAGTGTTAAAGTTAAAGTTTTTAACTCTGAGTAGAGCTTTCTTTAAAGTAATTGGGAGCACATGCAGAGCCAGTTTTATTTCAGTTAATAGTAGAGCTATCTATAGAGTTATTGAGCCCATAATGATGTAATGAAATGTGGGGATGCGGTGTGGGTTTTTAGGCTATGGAAGCCGTTAGTGGATTATCCCCCGCCTGAACTAGACAGACGTACTTGGGTGTTAAATTTGTGAAAACGCGTCCAAGCCTAGGGAGGGTCTGACATAGCATAGTGGATTTTTAAACACAGTCCGATTTAGAAATGTTTTTTTAAGCTGGCAGCTTTAGTGGTCATCCATTTATGACGTCCACACGGGGGGGGGGGGGTCCGAAAAAAATTGACTTTTGTGGACGCGTGTGGACAGGGGGAGGGGGGGTTGGCCCAATGTGGACGTCCACACATTAAATCTAACATTATTTTTGGTAGTGTGAAAGAAAAATATTTCCTAGCGAAGCTAAAGTTCAACTATCCTATCTCTCTGGCCCTTTAACCACCCAGCTTGGGTCTATGCCCTGGCTTAACCTGGAATACAATAAGATATCCAATTACAAGTTTCCCACATTTGCATCCCAGGTCAAATACCAGGCGACCACTTCTCTAGGTAGGCTGGGTCATCCCAGTTCAGTTGTGAGACGGGAGAGGGGGTGGAGGGGGGGGGGGGGTTAGCACGCTGACCCTGTTCAGGTGTGGGACACGAAGGACAATAAAACACATTTGTACCAGTATTTGTAATACTATATACACTCAGAGTATATACACACTAAATGCAGTAGCTTGAGTAATAGTGGAAGAAGATTATGCAAAAACTTATAGTCAGTGTGGACGTCCACGGGATGGGGGGGGGGGGGGGGGGGGGGGGTCCGTCAAAAGTGGACGTTTGTGGACAGGGAAGAGGGGGGGGGGTCCAAAATCCCAAAAATGTGTGGACGTCATAAATGGATGACCCCTTAGCCAACCAAGGTACACTTCTGTTATATTCAAGGTTAAGATAGTTTGAGAGTATCTAGCTAGCATCACCCATCTCTTTAAAGAGTTGACGTTTTGACCAAGTGGTTTAGAGAGAAAAATCTGAAACATCTCTAGTTCAATGCACACTCTCACCTGTATTAGTTACACTATAGGAATTCCTAAACAGGCCAAGAGAGAAACATCCCATTAATAAAGGCGTATCTGACGCCCTAATTGCAGACACGGACAGCGTTTTTGTCCCTGCGGTCCCGGGTGGTAATACAATACCGGACGAGACTCTTTTGTAGTGCATCACAGCCCCCCCCCCCTCCCCCACCACGACCCGTCCCGCAATTGTCTCCCCCCCCCCTTCTCCCAAGTTCCAACCATTCATTCCATTTGGATTTAGCTGGCTGTAGTCAACGTTTTCATCTCAATTAAGATAAGTACATTTTTTTAAATATATATATAAGTATTTATGGGGGCATCTTCCGCTTGATTTTTGCCCCGGGCATCTACATAGGTCTGCACACCCACTGACCTGAGTCCAGCGGTATCGTAAGGCTGACCGGGCCTCGACCTCAGACTGCGGTCACGAGGGCGGAGCCTGAGTCATGTGATCTGTAGGCAGTGGCGTAGCGAGGGGGGTGCGGACCGCACCGGGTGACACCATTTAGGGGGGTGACACCAAGGCAAAAAATAGCAAAATGTATACAGAAAAATGTTAATTCCACTTAATTAAATGATTAGAGTGAATTAAATAGTCTTTTAAGTATGGAATGTGTATAAAGCAATGTATGAAAAAAAAGGATATTTTCAGTAATGTGTATGGCAAGCCCTCCTCTGTCAGGCTAATGTAAATGTCGTATTATCTTTGTAACAATAGTAAAATTCTGTGTCAAAAGTCTGAATGAATGTGTATATCACACAGATGTTAGGAAGTTTGTCAAATGTATTTTACAGCCGGCCAGCTTGGGGCTAAAGCCTAGACGCTACAGAGGTCCGTGTGTGAGCAAATGTGACCACGCCGCCCTGGAGACCAGTCGCCATTTCAGGCTACTCTGACTGAGTCAAAACGTTGCTCCTATGTTAATTACTCTATGTTAACCTTCATGTATTAAAGTTAAATAAGTGTTAAACATTTGCACTGAGTTAATTAT